ATATATAAATACGGTGTTGAATAGCCGACCCAATTCTTAGAAGTTTAAAACTGTCATTGCTAACCCCGTAGCTTTGTAGTTTTGCAATTTTGAGTTTAACCTAGAAGATATGGGAATTCCTGGATCAAGTATTGGGGCAAACTAGCCTTCGTGGAAACTATTTGGTGGAACTAACCAGCATTTGCGTTATCCGGAGAGGAGAACAACGAAAATCTCCCGCAGTTCGCCCGGTGGCAAGGAGATTCTAACTTTTATTAAGTATACACTGAGGACATTTTACGTCAGCAACTGTGGTCAGTGAGAGTCTGAACCAGGATTTGTATCAATCAGACACCGCTGTGATTCAAACCTAGGTTATACCATTGGGAATCGAACTCTCTATTCCCTGACTTAACCGCGACTTAAGAGGATGAGCATTTGGTTACGCTATCCAGATTTGTCTTGTGAAGTACTCCTTTTTCCCTGCCATCAATGAAAGTATCAATTGTAACATGAATTTTGAACAAGCGCAAAATTGTGGAAACAGATAAAAAAAAAATGCATAGAAATTTAATACCATATATTTTATTAATGTAGTTTATTTAGAAACCTTGTTCTTGTTGAAAAAAATTTCAGTTGAAAAAAACTTCAAATTTTTCATAAATGATGTTTGTGGTTAAGTATTCTATCATAAATTTTAGAATGCTTACTTCATATGATAGATATTTTAATTTGTAAACTATAATTCATTATGAAATAAGAAAATTTACAAACATAATATCTGGCTTGAAATTTACTCCTCCATTTTAAATTTCTCTCTTCAGAAACTAGCATTAAAGTCAAATTATTCTGTAATTTTTTTTAATTTTTGATAACAGCGCGAATAACATAAGAAATGAAATTACAAATCAACAAAACAAAAACAGGTTCAAAAGCTGAAGTTTTTGACAATAGTGTAAATTTTATTGAGAATTAGCTGTAAACATAATTTGTTTATTATTCATTTCAACAGCGTCCTACCTGGTAGCCGGAATTTTTCCTTTGCTCTTTTACTTTGGACAAGTTTTTATTCCCCGAGGTAAACATTTTTCTCTAACTCTTATTTATTCTAACTCTTTATCTGAAGCGTAATGTAAAACTTTAAAAAGTTATAAAAAAATAATGAATTTTTAAAAAACTACTAAGTTTAAAATAGGCTTAAAAATTTTATGCAAATTTTCAAAATAACTGTTGATATTCGGATTTATTTTATGAAATGCTCGATATGGTGGTTTGGTTCTCATTGGCTATGCGAAAACACTATTGGCTATGAGCTATGATGTGCGCAAACAAATATCAAAATGCCTAAAAACGCTTGGAAGTGTCGAGACATCGATGCTATTAATGGCAGTTTTGAGCTCAACGCTTATTAGTTTTATGGTTATGTATAGTCGGCGTAAAAAAAGATATCACTCTGAATAACTTTTGCTCCTAATGATCGGATTTTCACGAACTGAGTGTCAATCTTAATGGTTCCTGGGGATGACCCCAAATATGCTCATTAATTAGTACTAACTATGAATTAAGTTGCGAAATCAGACACCAAAGACGTACTTTCTCTGAATAAACATAGATTTTTTTTTTTACATATTTGGAATCCGGAAAATTGGGTCGTCAATTGGGTCGCAACAAAGATTGGCGATAGTCCAGAAAACAGCCAACAAAAGTAGCCGACGCAAATGAATATTTTAAGATGACCCATAGACTAATTCAAAAGAGGAATATTTAATTTTACTCGGTTGCTAAGCAACTAAGCTCTGATTATAAAAAAAATTGAAATAATGTTTTGTGATTGCTCGGAGATGTTTAATTAATAGTTAATGGAAAATATCTTGAAGTTTTTAGTCAATAGACAATTTTTAAGCTGATTTCTGTCCAAAAAGCAAAGATTTTTTTTTCTTTTAATCTCCTTTAAAGAGTAAATTTGAATCGATTTATAAATTATTTATGATTTTCTAAGCTTTTAGAATTTAAATACATCAAGTTTTTAGCTGACATTATTTAGATTTTTTATGTTGCTCTTACTATTTATACGAGGATTTCATACCAAAATCGAATTTACATAGCTTATTATAACTATATACAAAATTTTAGAGATAATAATTTTTACAGCTTTAATCGCGTCTTCTAGGCAAAGAAAGTTTGAAGAAACAAAAAAAAGTTCTTGAAAAATAAAATTTAGTTTGTATAGTAATTCTAATGCACAATCACAAGCTTTTCTATAATTTACGATATTTCTTTTTTCTGTAACTCAAGGAATTGCTGAGTGTTAAGTGGCATTTTAAAAACATTGAAACATGTTATGTTTAAGAATAAGATATTGTAATAATATTATGTTTATTTTAACGAGTGTAAAATCCTTATCAAAATAATAATCAAGACCCAAAAGTAAAATAGTATAATTGATGATAAAAAACTCAACTGGCTTCAAAAAATATGAAGAGGGAAGTAAAAGTCAACATGTTTCGAGCTTTCAAATATAACCTCCCATTCTCAAGACTTGTCAGGTGTGAATGACTTGTGACTTTAATTATTGGAAACTCAAAGCATGTCTATTTTTTATTATCATCTATTATTTTTCAAATCAATGAAGTTTTTATATTTCCGATTCAGTTTCTTGGGATTATCCATTAAGTAACACAGAACATTAAATTATTTCATTCCGTATTAAAATAAGTTTTACGTAAGATATAGGCATAGGTTCTTAGATTCACTACTTTCTACTACACTTGCTACTTTCAACTACATATAATTCACTACTTTCTAAAGAAATCAAATGCAGCTTAATTTTTTTTTTTTTTTTTTTTTTTTTTTTTTTTTTTTTTTGCTGCTATCCTTAACATTGTTTAAGGACATAGAATTCTAGTCAACAATTTCAGTACGTTCATACAATTCAAGAAATTCTAGCTTTCAAGTGTTTATTGTGAACATCAGGGTCACCAACAGAGACATAATTGTCTTGCCTGTTTGTGAGTCATAATATTTACATCAATAAAATTTTTTTGATTCGAGTAGATGATGGTTTTTTCTTCTTCTTTAAATCAAAATTGTAGTTGATAATTCTTGTTGAACCTAAAGAATTTAACATAAGCTCATTGTCTCCAACGTTTCGCTAATAGTTTATAGTACCTTGTCAAAATAATAATAATCATTGTAATTTAATGAATTTGCCTCATGAAAAGAAAAACAAACGTTTACGTCGTATTAAAAAAAGTAGGAAAGTGTTTTTACGATCTCACAATAAAAAAATCTTTTTAAATAAGTAATTTTATTTTTCTGCAAAAATATTAGAAAACAGTCGAAAAATTCATACTGTTTTGTGTAAAATACGCACTTTAATTAATTTGTTGTATGGAAAATTAAGAACGCATTTTCAAGTTTAAGATTAGCATAATTTTTTGTTTATTGAGCCCATTAAAATGTATATCAATGTTGCAAACAATTATACAAAAGAGAACTAATTGCTATAAAGTAATTAGGCTGAAGAAACAATAAATTTGAATTCGTGAGCACGGTAAAATGTTTGGAAGCAGGTATTGATTCAGTCCTAAAATGGAAAACACGTATAAAATACGCAATAACCAAATGAAGTTTCATTTTGAGGCTTTTTCATTATTTAAAATTTAAAGTAAGCAATACATTTTTTCTAACCTTATATAACGTGTGTATACCTTTTTGCATGGAACTGAGATGGCAAAGTCATTGAGCTGATATTGGGAAGGATGAGAGTTCTATTCCCAATACGAATTCCGCACTCGACTGGAGCAAACCACATTGGTGATGTAAAACGACCTCAGTGGTAGACGGTTCATGGGTTAGAGTCCTCATGCCGTCAGGCTAACAGTGGTTTTTTTTTTTATATAGTTTTATCTTCATGTAAAGCAAAAGTTTAATAAATTACTATTCCACGAAGGCAAATTTCTGCCAATACTTGAAGCAGGAGTTCCCTTGTCTTCTGGACAGGATTCAAAATTACAGGACTACGGAACCGAACATTGAACGACTACATAAACTCAGAGTCTTTATCTACTTTTAAACTTCCTATATTTATTATTATTCATCAGTTTCGGGTGGAGACTACATAATTCACTCAAAACAAATTTATTAAATAATTTTTAAGTAAAAATGAGTAAATTTTCCCATTTACTATAATTATAGCATCTGGGAAGGATGAGAGTTCTATTNATACATTAAAGAAAAATTTCAGTATTTCAAAACTTTATGTTTTACTCTTTGTTTACGTTAATATAATATCTCCTATATTTGAATTTCAAATCATTTATTTAGGTAAAACAGAATTTGTGACGAAGCGTTTCAGCAGCGATGTAGCATTGTCTTTGATTCAAAACTAATTAATCAAACACTAATTTAAACAATTTTTTAAGCATGTATTTGTTTTTGCTTTGGCTGAAATGTTTTATACTAGAATAGCATTAAAAGAGAAAAATAACAAAAAAAACTTTAACAACATAAACAATTATTGACAAAAACAATAATTAATATAAATCCGTACAGCATACAATGTTACAAACGTGAAACATTTCTTAAGAAATGTCGGTCATGAATAACAACTTAAGATCTGAAAAGATAATAAGAAGGAGGATGAGAATATTTTTTTCTTCATAAAATTCAATAAATTATCATTCAATGAAAATTGTTTAAAAAATTTACAATGATGGTAAAAGGATTGAATTTTATGCTACTAGAAAGGAAAAATCTTAAACACGTGACTAAAAACACAAAGCTTCAATTTTATCCTCCTTATTCTTTATTACCACTTTCGATAAAAAATTGAAATCCGCTGTGCGTGTGTTTAGTGAATCACTTGGAAAATAAAATATTAAGATGAAAATGTATGTTTACATTTTTCTCGGTGTGTCATTTTATGTAATTGCAAATATGACGTCATCCGGAAACCAGTTTGAATTTATTTTTAGTGTCCTTGACGAAGAATTGTTAGAGAATGTCTGGCAGAGAACAGTTTGAATTCGGAAAGGAATGGTGTTAGAATTATTAAAATGTTGTTTGTTGATTTTTGTTACGATGACTATAAAATACGGCGTGACTCTGTTAGATGAATGAAAATGAAGAGGTTATAAGTATTTTTCTGGTGAGATCATCATAACTGTTTTTAGAGGAATACACCATAGATTTAGCAAGAGTTTCACTATCATGTTGGAATTAATCGAAAATATCATTATAAGTATTATAAACACATTGCGTATTAATTTAGGTAATGATTCCTTTTGAATATATTTCTTTCAATCTATAATTCTGTGAAATGTTAAGAGTCTTAACTACGATTAAAAGGTTCTAAATGTAATTCATAACATTAAAAATTATAGAAGTAGTTTTATTTATTATTTTTTTTAAAGAAAATAATGTATGCATTTCATACATTAAAAAAATAAGGCAGTTCTTCTGAATTAAAATAAGTAGAGATCAGATCTTTTTTTTCGGAAATTTTGGGAAATAATTATTTAGTAGTTTTTTATAATACTCATTAACATTAACTTCATTGAGAATTAAGAAAAAAAGAAAAGAAAAGAAAGAAAGAAAACACTTTCAGTCCTACCAAGAAAAAAAAATAATGTAAGCCTCATTTCTGATCACTCAAAAGTAATTTCGTTAAAGTACCTTTAAATGTACGTATATTACAAAATATAGTAAAAAATATTACAAAGTATTGTAAATAATTAAAAAAATGCCTTAAAGTGCATGCTGGATTTATTTTACCTTATTTTTTATAAAAATAAGGTCAAATAGTTGCAAATTTTTAAGTAGTTATAATTATTTTTTTATTTTTATTCAGCTGAATATTCATTGAAGATTCCCTTGTTTTACTTTATTCTTGACAATATATCCAGAAAAATATACAGATACCCATTAAAGAACACCCTACATTATTATGAAGGAAGAAACTATGCAATTCAAAACAAAAATATCTCTTTTAATGATTTTAGAATATTGATAAAACTATAAAAGAGAAACAATATTTGCATATTTTATATTTTTAGATGTAAATTGGGTATCCTACATTCGAACAAGGTTATGGATACGTTCATATCTTCGAAAATACAAAAAGAAAATTGTTTATCCTGTAAAGAAGGAAGATGTCACACCGTATGATGTAGGACTCATACCTTATCCATTCGAATATGAAATGGAGAATCCTCAAACTAAAAACTTTGAAGTAAGCTTTTTCATTTCGATCTCTAATCCTTTAAAATGGCTCCATTATTAGACAATTTGTTAATAATTTATCAAAGTGTTATTATGATGCTTGGTGTAATTTTAATTTACCATTTCAACATTTCATTGGGTGTAACTTATGGATGATTAATTGAGTATAATCAATAGAAAGATTGTAAAATTGGAAAGGAATACTGGAAATTTCAAGTGTATGTATCGGTTTATCATACGAGACGATATGCTAGTTTTATTATTGAGAATGTGATTTAATTAACTCGTAATTTTAAAATTCATGAAATGTTTTGGCGTTTGATTAATTCTATGTGATTGTAAGTTGTACATCGATTTAAATAAATTAATATCAGGCAAAAATAAAGTGTAAGGATTGCCATGTTTTGAAGATTATCTTCAGCTTTTTTTTTTTTTATGTTTGCAATTAAATTTTAAAGATATTTTCAAATTGAACATTAAATAACGCAAATCAAATTCTAAGTAAAACAACTACATTAACTACTATAAAGATTAGCGAGTTTTTTTAAACTTAGACGTAATAATAAATTTGATGTAGTAGCCCGGAAGTCTTACTACGAATATTAACCGATAGCACGACCTGTGCTTTGCTTTATACAGTTAGCCATCCATATGTAGATTATTTATTTACATCAACTGAAATTTTACATTAAGTCCAACAGGAAATTTTACATTAAGTCCCATGTACACTGTAAAAAATTTCAGATCAATTTACGGTAAAAAGTACCGGCACTCAAAGTGCTGTTAATTTTTACCTTAAATTTTACGAAACGAAAAATCTAGGGTGGAACGAAACTTTTTACAGTAATATTTACTGTAAAATTACTAAATCACTGCAATTGAATAATTATTACTGTAAATGTTACGGTATAAAAGTTTCCGATAAAAATAGGTTTTCTGGTAAAATGGATTTTGCTGATGAATCATCCAGGGTACCAATACTTTCTACTGTAATTTGAAACAAAATTTTTCACTGTGTAGTTCAAAGTTAAATGCTGATTAATTTATCTATAAAAATCCGCTCTAAATCCTTTCGATCGTGCCTTTTACTTTTTTTTTACGATTTGGAGACAATTTTTCCATTAAGGTGAATGGGTAAATGGTTAAACGCTTATTATCGCCGATGATGCTGTAAAATAAAATGTCATGAATTAAAAAATTGCACGCATCATGTAAGAGTTGCTTATAGTTCAAACTAACCAAGAGAAGTTTTCTCGTAGAGGTTTGTTCTATTATTAGAGATTTATTTGCCAATATTTCCAATCTCATTTTAAATTAAATTGAACTTTTAAAGCAAAATTTTCAGGGATAATAAAAGAGTTGCTTAAAAATAAACAAGCACCTGTAAAATGCAAAATTGCGTGCATCGTGTAAATGTTGTTTATATTATATATAAATGTTGTGAATATTAATCTAGAGAAGTTCTTTCGTAGAGATTTGTTCTATTATTCAACATTCATTCGCCCATATTTCTAATCTCAAGTTAAATGAAATTGAACTTTCAAAACTAATTTTTTAGTGATAATAAAACTGTTACTTAAAAATAAACAAACGCCTGCATATAATATTACATTTATTCTACTCTGTATGGTATTAAATTATTTTTATTTGCTGAATATATATTTAAAATTTTCCAAGTATGGACACCATGGAGGTCCCTGTGACTACTGAAAGGGTCTTTTGAAAGCAACGTCGAGGTAGCAATTAAACCCATGTTATCAACGTTAGGGGTGTTCGAAAGGTTTAATATTACATATTGTTGTTAGCAATGCAACTTGCCAACGCCAGCAAACCTGCTTGGTGAAACCAAGCGAATTTAAGGCAGAGGGTGTGCTTCTTGTTTTTCAGTGGCGCTATCTATGGTTAAGAATACGACTTCAGCCGCACTCACACGTTGCAGTTCGTTTTAACACATGGTCCCATTCATTCATCCACATATCGCAATTTTGACCTGAACCTGAGAACTATCAATCACCAATTCAGAACCAACAACGGTATTAATTTGTTATGGGGACGTGAAGGACTTTGTAATCCGACATACTTAACGAGCACCAGTCACCATTTACTACAAGAAGAGTCTACGACCGGCGGGGATCGAACTCTTAATCCCTCCCCGCGATACGGGCCCAATCAAAGCCTCCTAGATAGGTTGATCTAGGAGGCCTATCACCTTATTTAGGAGACTTTGGCCCAACTCCCTACCAACCAGGTTTTCTCAACTTAATATCACATGAAATATTTATAATCATTTCCATTGTTATAAAAGGATGGATAATCGGGTAATGATTTTTATCTATTAAAAAGTTGAGAAGAAGAGTTAAGTAGATAAATATGGTCTTTGAAACTTCGTAGAACTAGAATTTAATACAGTTATGAGCCTCATAATAAGGAACAGAAATCGACTGAAAATTAGTGCTCGTGGGCGAACAACCATACATTCGAAAATAAATCTTAGATCTTCTCACTAGATTCACCTATCTCATTGAGAAAAAAAATATTTTTATTATTTTAAGGTAAAATATATGATTTTGCTAAGTATTACGTCAAGATATCGCTAAGTTTTCTTTACATTTTGTTTTTATGTCAGCATTTATTATTCAAGAGATTAAAGTTAAATAAGTAGTTTTTATAGTATAGAAAAAAATAGAGTTATTGCACTTGAAGGTTAATGGCCAAGTTTTAGATATAAAAAGGCATCCATGAGCACAGTAAGTTTGAGAGCAACTGATCTAAATAACGATATAAAATATCGGGTAACATGGTTTCGATCATTGTAATTTGCTCTTTTTTTAAAAAAACAGAAATTACTAAGACGAAGTCTAAACTTTCTTAAAGAAGTCTCTTAAACCTATTTTGAAGTCAATATTTTTTTAGCTCTCACATAACGAATTGATAATATAAATTCCGAAAAAAAGTATTTACACCGTCTGTTTGAAACATTTGTTAGATTCCTGGTTTGTAATTGATCCTAGGTTTAATACTATTTCGAATGAAGAATGTGACTTGGCATTGCTATGAATGCATATTGTTCCGTTCAGTTTTCAGATTTTGAAAAATAGGTAGCATAGCATTGTGTTATCAAACAATTTCATCAATGTAGATAAGATAAACGATTGTTTATTGTCTCAAACGAAGGAGTGAATGTGTTTTTTTCTTTTATTCTTTTTTCTGTTTTTCATTTTATTTTTCTTTGCGGGTTAAAAATAATTCTTTTTCAAAAAGAGTTTTCTGGTTTTTTAAGAGGAAATTTCTCATTATTGCACATTCATTTTTTAAAAGTTGCACAAAAATGATCTTCATAAGTTTTATATGAAACTATTAATATTTAAAGAATAGTTTTTCAGAATTTTAAAACATTGTAATATTGTTTTACTTCCGTTTCAATGGCTAATTCAGAATCATATTACAGCCAATTTAAGATTTCGAGCTAGATTAAAAATTAAATTTATTTAATATATATTATTTCTTATTTCCTCGATGACATAATATTGATTAATAAAGCTGTGTTGATGATTATAGACAAGAAATATTACACAGAATATTTAAAACTGGGACAAAAACGCAGCTATGCCTTTTTTATGACATATTATTTTTATTAGTAATCTGTAATAAAAGTAAAGCTATAATTTATCTTTTATTTTCCTCAAAAAATGATAAATATTTTGATGTGTCTTATAAATTATTCAAACAATTTGTTTTATATTGATAATAATTGTTTTTAATTAATTTTATTAATTTGCATCTAAATCGTTGTTTGTAATCGTTTTATTACTATGCATTGAGAGTCTTAATTTTTTGTATTGTATTGACATTTTTAAGTTTGTTAGAATAATCCTCTGAAAAAAAAGAAAGTATTATTTATTATTACTATTTTTTAAATATAAAATTATATCATAATGATGAAAACTTAAAGTAGAGATAGTAGCTGGGAAAGCATATCCTAGATAAAAAAGAAAAGGACTTGTGTCGCACTTCAATATGACTCATAATAAAGAAAGCGTCATTTGGTAATTGATTAAACTAAGCTAACAAAAATATCAATCGCTATTGTGCCCGTAATCATTTTAGTAGCTATTAATAAAATCTCTAATAATACCAATCAAGAAGTCACTATTATTATCAGTTCNATCCTTAAAGGTTCGAAGGGGTGACCTCAAATATGCCAAATCTTCCTAGGAGAAAAGTATGTTTTTTCAAAGAACGTGCATTTTTGTGTCTGATTTCGTAACTTAAAATATCGTCTGCATTAATTAATTAACATATTTGAGACCACCCCCCATAAACCATTAATATTGAGTCCCGAAACGTGAAGATCCGAACAATAGATCAAAAGTTATTCAGGGTGGTCCATCAATTTTTTCACGCTAGTTCCTAATGAAAATTTAACTTAATTTTAAACCTTTCTTTTTTCACTATCGATAAATAATTTTCTATCTTATACGCATGTAAAGTCTACACAATTTTGCACAACAAATATGAATATTTCATTTTATATCAGCCGTTGAGCAACCAACCCAATTTTGAGTTTACGGCTACTAATGTTCAACTCCGTAGTCTTGTAATTTTGAATCGGGAGAAATTCGCCTTCGCGTGGACTTTTTGATGGAACTAACCCGCACTTGCGTTACATGGAGATTAAAACCACAAAATGCTCCCACGGTTAGCTTGACGGCAAGAGGACTCTAACCCATGATCCGTGTAACAATTAAGGATATTTTACGTCAGCATTGTGTTTCGTACGAGCCGGGTGAGGAATTCAATCGACCAGGGATTCAAACCCAGGTAACATCATTGGGAGGCGAGCTCGCCATTCCCTGAACCACAACGGCTCAATATGAATTATAAGAAAATGTTACGTTAAAAAGTTCAGTATTGTGTATGTAACGAATCAAGCTGTTCGCAAGCCAGTGCCTTCATTTTGCAATGCCCCGGGTCAAATGAAAAAATCTTAAGTATTTTCTAATCAGCCTTGAAGTTCTTATGACAAATGAAATGACCGCACCTAAAATTAGTTTAGTTAGAAAATCTATAATTAATTAGTTCAAACAGAAGGAATAGATTAAACTTAAATTTTATTCAAGTCTAGGACAGAAGACAAAGCTCATTGCAATAGGCCTAAGTTAATTCAAGATTAAGATTGGGTAATTCGTGACATATTTCCTAATCAGCCTGAAGCATGTTGGCTGATTGTACTAAGCTTTAAAACGTCAGACTGCATAGAAAATATTGTAGACTTTTCCAATTAACGTAACGTATTGCAAAATGATGGTGACGTTTACAAAAAGTTCCAAGTTCAATAATGTGTATAAACCCTCCTTCTCATAGATTAATTAGAAAAAATATATATCATTATTCAGTTAGCCTGATTAATTTTAAACATTGAGTTCAGCGCAGTGAAAGCAATGCTTATTTGAAGTGACTTACTTCAAAAGAGTTAAAGATTTTTAAAAAAGAGTTCAAGTCAGAAGAATAGATTAAAATAAAAATGCATTCTAATCGCGGGCAGAGGACAAGTTTTATGGTAATAAGCCCAAATTAATTCAAGATGATTGAGAAATTTGTCGCACATTCTCTAATTAGCCCAGAGGCATGCTGGTTGAGTTTACTGAGTTTTAAAATATCAGACGGCATAGATAATATTGTAGACTTTTCCAATTATCGTGACGTATTGCGAAATGATGATGACATTCACAGCGGAATTTTTCAATTAGCTTTAACAAATATTATGTATTGTAATAGTTTAATGTTACATTCATGGGGGGGATATAAGATGAAGCTGTCAAAATTTATTTTTACTCTAAGACACATGTGTGGTAAGTTATTTTATAAAAACTTTTTTAAAAAATTCGTTATTTTTGCTTATTATATTTTATTTACTTCATAGAAAATGTGTTTCGGACAACAGTTCAGATGAAACGGAATTGGTACATGTTAAATTCTCCTTTTTGTAAGTATCATTCGTATTATTATTGCGCATAAGTTTTATAATTATTATTGTGATCATTATTCTAATTATTATTATAATTGTTATTGTATTGGGTGTACAAACTAGTTTGGTTCGTTTTTAAAAAATGGCTCTTCTGTTATGAATGTTATATAGTGACAGCTGGGTTCAGTGGTTTTAGAGAGTTTAAACATCTGTCAATAATATTCAGTTTATATCGCTTTGAGTTTCATTCAAAAACCTTGTTTTTTACTTTGTTGGATATGTCAAATTTTGCGGTAATGAAACTTCATTTGCGGGAGGTTTTATGCTTCTGCTTTAATTGGAAGAAAAGTGCAGCTGAAGCGCATCGAATGCTTGTAGAAGTTTATGTTGACAATGCTCCAACAGATAAATCATGAAGGGAATGGTTTCGAAGTTTCAAGAATGGTTAATGGTGAGTAAAGAATGGTAAAAGGTGAATGATAAATGGTGAATTGTTTTGTATACTATGAGCTGCTACAAACTGGTGATTCCATTACGGGCGACTGGTATAGGCTACAATTGTTTTATTTGAGCCGTGCNCATGCTGGTTGAGTTTACTGAGTTTTAAAATATCAGACGGCATAGATAATATTGTAGACTTTTCCAATTATCGTGACGTATTGCGAAATGATGATGACATTCACAGCGGAATTTTTCAATTAGCTTTAACAAATATTATGTATTGTAATAGTTTAATGTTACATTCATGGGGGGGATATAAGATGAAGCTGTCAAAATTTATTTTTACTCTAAGACACATGTGTGGTAAGTTATTTTATAAAAACTTTTTTTTAAAAATTCGTTATTTTTGCTTATTATATTTTATTTACTTCATAGAAAATGTGTTTCGGACAACAGTTCAGATGAAACGGAATTGGTACATGTTAAATTCTCCTTTTTGTAAGTATCATTCGTATTATTATTGCGCATAAGTTTTATAATTATTATTGTGATCATTATTCTAATTATTATTATAATTGTTATTGTATTGGGTGTACAAACTAGTTCGGTCCGTTTTTAAAAAATGGCTCTGCTGTTATGAATGTTATATAGTGACAGCTGGTTTCAGTGGTTTTAGGGAGGTTAAACATCTGTCAATAATATTCAGTTTATATCGCTTTGAGTTTCATTCAAAAACCTTGTTTTTTACTTTGTTGAATATGTCAAATTTTGCGGTAATGAAACACCATTTGCGGGAGGTTTTATGTTTCTGCTTAAATTGGAAGAAAAGTGCAGCTGAAGCGCATCGAATGCTTGTAGAAGTTTATGTTGACAATGCCCCAACTGATAAATCATGAAGGGAGTGGTTTCGAAGTTTTAAGAATGGTTAATGGTGAGTAAAGAATGGTAAATGGTGAATGATAAATGGTGAATAGTTTTGTATACTATGAGCTGCTACAAACTGGTGATTCCATTACGGGCGACTGGTATAGGCTACAATTGATTCATTTGAGCCTTGCATTACGAGAAAAAAGGACGGAATACGAGCAAAGACATGACAAAGTTATTCTTCTGCATAATAATGGTCAGCCTGGTGTCTCAAAAGTCGTAAAAACTATTTGGAAATGCTCAAGTGGGATATTTTACCGCACCTGCTGTATTCTCTGGACATTGCTCCTTCTGATTACTGGTTGTTCCGATGGATGTAGCATGATTTTGCAGGTCACCAGTTCACTTCTTTCGCAGAAATTGAAAATTGGCTCCTAACTTGGATCGCCTCAAAAGACGAGACATTTTTTCGAGATGGAATTCGAAAATTGCCTGAGAGGTGGGAAAAAGCAGTAGCCAGGGATAGACAATACTTTGATTATTCTGTTCATTCATTTTGTTCTGAAATAAATGCATTTTTGACCACAAAAAAACGGACCGAACTAATTTGTACTCCCAATAGTTATTATTACAGCTAATTTTGTGTTAATTTATATAAATCACAAATCGTATTATAGTGTTTAAAAGGAAAATGAAAGCATTGCCTGGACTATAACTGGCTTTGTATCATTTGAAGGTTAACACAACCAAACTTACATTTTTTTTGTGAGGTTCTTGTTAAAAATAAATATATATTTTTCGACAGGTGGCATTCAATGACTGTCATTCAAGAACATAATCTAGATTTCAATCTAAAAAACATGGCTAAAGCAATCGCAAATGAAGAAAACCAACTTTCTCCAGATGATTTTAAAAAGTAATATTCATTAAAATTCTTTTATAATTTCACGATTTTTTTTCATTTGGGTTTTTAATAACTCAAAAAGTATGAGTACATTTTATTTTTTAGCTCTAATGCTTCAAATAATTTATATTTAAAAAATACCCATAGATTTTACGAACAGCAAAATCGTTATGAACAGTGGGGTGGACTCATGGGCTCTATTCATATAGAAGGAAAAGAAGATCAAGAATTATATATGTGGTCATGCAGAACAAGAATACAAGGTTAGACTTTTTATTTAGTATGGCAATAATGATATATATGTTTTAATTTTAAAACTGTGTACATGTTTGTAAAGCATTTCCCTCGAAACAAAAAATATTTTTTTTTTAAATTTTTAAAACTATTAGGGCAATTCTAAAGTAATACAGGGTTATTCATAATTTCCTCCGTGGTTTCGAAGCGTTATAGTAAAAAAACGGAGACGAATATGGCAAAAAAGAACATTATTCCGAAAGTTTTCAAGTTTTAATTTAAGCAGTTGCCGGTAGATGGCAGTAACATGTACCACTGAAGCCAGTTGTAGTAAAGAAAAATGGCGTTTACAGGCGGAGGAAATTATGAATAACCCTGTATAACTGTAACTAAGCAGATCGTAGTACATCAAATTTCACAGGTTTTAATTTAGGAAAATATAAAGAAAGTTTTCTTTAAAGAAGAAAAATAATAAAAATATTTAAAAAAAAAAAAAGCATTTGTTTAAAAATTGCACGAGAACTTGATATAATTTTAAAGAAAAAAAATTCGAAGTATACTTTTGAAATCATTTATTAATATCTCGTTTTTTCATTAAGACTAATTTGATTTTAAAACAATCCAAGGTCTTATCTGGTATTTTATTAAAAAAAAATTAAGATTATCGTTCATTTGCTGAGTCTTCTTATAGTTTGAAAACTGGCCCTTTTAAAAATAAAAAAAATACTATGACCTCTACTATTTATTTAGCTTGAATATTTTTATGAAAATTAGCAAAATTAAAATCAATTATTTCTTCTAACTTCTTTGATAATTAAGAAAGAAAAAAAATCAATTATGTTTAATTTCCATGCATTTATATAAGCCTTAGTTAGCAAATATTTACGTGATGTGAAACATATGTCATGACTTCATTATATATCTTCGTCGTATATTAAAACTATGCTTTTAAAATTTTGATCTTCTCTTATACATACTTGCTTAATTTGCATAATTTGTAAGATTGCAAATAATAAATATGGTCACAATACCAAGCACGTAATTCCTGTAATTGGTCTATTTTAAATCTGAAATGGACATATTGATAATGCATTCGAAAACTATTTCCATTATTTAAAATTCATTAACATTTCAAGTATGTTAAAAATAAACTCATTTGAAGTGTTTTTTTTTGTAGGTGTGTATAAAGAACAATTAAATAAGTTTTAACTAAATAAGTTTCTTTTCTTCAGATTCCTTGCTTTCATGTGACCGATTTTCAATCACAAGAATGTTTATGTACTTTCAAGTAAGTTAAATTCTTCTGTCAAAAAGAATTTTTTAACAAATTAATTTATTGCTGATTGTTTTGCCAGCTATGATTTTGACATTGTATTGAAATACGTGATAATGAGCTGATGACTCTAAACATTAAAAGGATTATCCACTTAATTTTCATACTTAACGCAGCAATTTTAAATAATTTTGAGTTCTTTTTTAACCATTCTAATTGTATTATGCATTTTTTTTAGGATGGGTTTCCGATAAAAATTGAGAACTTGTCGATTCAACATTTTTTTAAAAAGTATGTTATTTATATTTTTCAATTTTAATATACAATCCAGGTTCATAGGTTTTAAGCAATAGTTTAAGCATTTTTAAATCATACTAACTTCTGTGAATATAATTGTTAGTACAAGACAAAACTACTTCTTATATTATATACTTATATTATATATATACTAGTGGGCTGCGCCCCCTGCTCGCTAACGCTCGCCAACCCCCGAAAATCGCTACGCAATCTTATATGGTTTTCATCGCAAACCAAGCTCGCTTCGCTCGCTGCTAACTTAGGTACATTGCAAATAAACAAAATTCTAAGAATTCAAAACAATCATTCAAATCCATATAACAAAATTTTTTTTTAAAAAAAAATTACATCTTTTTAGTAAATACTAAGTCATGAAAATAAATTTGAATTCAAATAAATGACATGTAATTCGTTAAACCTATTAGAAATGTGCTATAGTATAAAATCTTAAAGCGTAACAGCACGACTGAGACTCATTTTTCAATGAATAACTAATAACAATAATAAAACAAATAAATTAGTGATATAAATCAAAAATTGTCAAATAAATTCGTAATATATAAATTCGTGAAAAAAAGCGCTTTCGACAAAATACTAAAATAGAGATCTTTCGACAAAGACAACTCACTTCTGCCTAGCTTAAGGATATTTCAGCTTCCGTTTTTAAAAGCGCTATATGTTGGGCCACCACATCTAGATTTGGCATGTGACATTTTTAGTGGCAATCATTGGTTGATTTTCTAACGTTGCTACACGGAGAGTTGTAATGAGGTTTTTCTTGTAGCGTGTAAGAGAAATATATATATAGATGATAGGAAAATTCTCATATAGGCATATTAGCATTGAACAGCAAAACACACATATTTAAATATTAATAGTATGTGGACGAAAGATAGTCAACCACTCTTAAAATGTTTTTTTAAAAAAATTAAATCTTGTTAATGATATTTTTTATTTTATAAATATTTTTATAATCATCGATCAATAAACGTTTTGGCAAACTGTTTCTTTTTAACACTTTTAAATCTCTTTAAAATTGCATGCAAGGTTTTGAATTTTTTTTCTTTTACTGCTGTACGAAAAGTTCCCGAACTTACTATATGTAATTTAAGAAATTGATGTTTCAAATTTATGATGTAATTGAAAATATTTATCGAAAGGTAATGTTCAATAAATATATCTTTATTTTTCCTTTTCTAAAGTAGATAATCTCTATTGTTTAAAATAAATTGCAAATTTCATTTGCTTCACTCTTTTAAAATAATTATAAGTAAGAAGAAAAAGAAAGAAAAAACTTAAGAAAAACTTCTTGAAGTTAAATTAAATTAAAATAATGGATATACAGTAGGACCTTTTTATGACAAATTGGAATTTAATGAGATTCTAGGCTTAATAAAGAAAATATAGTCTTTTGTTTGTCAATATGTTATAAATGCATTAAAGTATATATTTTTAGGAAGCAACTTTTACTTTTTCATTTTAAACGTTTAAGGCTATGCTCAAATGCTCAAATCATGAATAATCTGGTTTTCTGCTTTTTAATTTTCATNTAAGTTTGCAATTGCGAAAAAAAAAAAAAAAAAAAGAGGAAGATTATCAAAAATATCTTGTGTGAAGTAAGATTATCAATATCAATTCTAAAAAAAAAATTTAATTCTAAAAAAAAAAATTTCAAAGTATCAGGAACATTGAAAAAAAGTTTTTTTTCGGGTAAATATGAACGTGTGTAGCAAAAAAAAAAAAAAAAAAGAGGAAGATTATCAAAAATATCTTGTGTGAAGTAAGATTATCAATATCAATTCTAAAAAAAAAATTTAATTCTAAAAAAAAAAATTTCAAAGTATCAGGAACATTGAAAAAAAGTTTTTTTTCGGGTAAATATGAACGTGTGTAGCAAAAAAAAAAAAAAAAAAGAGGAAGATTATCAAAAATATCTTGTGTGAAGTAAGATTATCAATATCAATAAAGATTATCAAAAATGTCTTGCGTCTCATAACTCATAAAATTGAATGGAAGTCAGGTGATTAGTTTCCAATTGGACAACAATAAAAAAATTAAGTTATGTTCAGCTAACAAATAAATAAATAAAGTTTGAAAATTTTGTAAGTGGCATAGCTAAACAAATTTTTAGTCACAACTAAAGCACGCAGAAAGATAGCAGCAAATCCCATATGACCTCCATTTTCGTAATTCGGATAGTTACACTCCTGCCATCTATATCTCATGAGTTAAAGTATAAAGTGAATTGGGTTCGGTAACTCTGCAAACATATTCCACCTTCAAAATTCGTCCCTAGTTTAAACTAACTTAGTCTAAATTTCCTCTCAAAAGTATTTCTCAAAATTAAGTTAGTCAAGACAGATTTCAAATGAATCGGTTGCTCGTTTGCATACATGGGAAGGTTACTTTTTAAAAGTAATAAGTGTAAGTGCAAGTACTTTAAGCAAAAGTGACGAATAAAAAGTTAAAAACGTAGATCTTTAAAATTAACCAGTTAAAAGTACAAGAACAAAACAAAAACAGAAAATAACGATATTGAAGTACATCAAGAGGAAACCATAAATTCTAAGTAACCATAAACTTTATAGAAAAAACGTAAAACAAATGTATAATTTTAATTTAAGAAGAAATAAATTTTAGATATAAAGAAAAAAACTTTAAAATACATGAAAATATTAAAAAATTCATAGAAATAGTGAACGTTTAAAATATTTAGGAACCAAAATTCAGTGTTTGCATATAAAAGGAGTTTATAAGTTTCAAAACAACCATATCTTTAGAAATTATGTTTTTACTTTTGGACTTGTAGTAATAATTTAATTTTTTGAACAAATTCGATAAATATTATTTTTTTTAAGGAAATAAATAGAAAAATAAAAAATACAAATATATACATACTACCCCTTGAAATCCATAAAATTAAAAGTTATATTTTGCTTCTATAAAAGCTAAAAGAAAATAATTTTAGAATTTTAATTTGCGATATAAATATTCCGCATTGAATCTATTCAACGAAAATTGAGCCTCTTGTTTCGGCTAGAAAGAAAATTATGAAGCAGATGGGATGGATGTTAGTTACTAGAAATTTGCAGGCTGTGACCTGTAACCTCTTTGAACCCCCATTGAAGTTAGATGTAAGAAAAGAGAAAAAAAGAAACAGTTTTCCTTAAAGAGAAAGAAAATATAATACGTAAAATTTATGAAGTAAAAGAAAATGATTTCAAACATTTCGAAACAAAATTTTTTGACGAAAATTTTTAAAACAATTTGAAAAAAGTAACGATTTTTTACAACATTTTCGTCACAAATACTTTTTCTTTTTCCTTAAAAAAGTAACAAAAAAAACAAGTAAAGTACTAAATTTAAAAATTAACAATAAAGTACACGTATAAGTACTTACTTTTTACTTTTACTTTCGTTACAAGTAACACAAGTAAAAGTATCGCCATGTATACTGGTTTAGGAGCCGCTGTATTTATTCAGAGTCCCCTAATTTTCCTTTGGTTGCTGTAACCTCTCAAGAGTTCAAATTTGAGAAAATAATTTAAACTCATTAGGTTACACATTATTAGCTTCAAGAAAATACTTGAAAAAAAATTGAAAAGGGAAATATTTAGGATGTTTATTTCTTCTCAAATTATTGCCTTTTTTTTAAAAAAAAAAAGTTAATGAGCATACAAACCTGCATATGCATAGCTACTGATTTTCATTTCACTCTTTCTGAGAAAAGATTTACCAAGTGGTGGTAAAACAATTATCAAAAAACAAATTCAAAAATATATATTCATATTTTGACGAAGATGAAATTCATTATAGCGAAGATTATTATGCTTTTGTATATTTGTTGTAATTATTGATATGTAGTGATAATCAAACTCATTTATAATTATTATTATAAATAAAAAAGTTTAATGAAATAGCATAAGCTTCGATACTACTTTAAATAAAAAAATAAAATCTTCCCGGGAAACCACAAAAGTTGGCAACTATGTATATTTAGAAATGAATAAATAAATATAGAAATTAATTTTAAAAAGTTTAGACATGCTTCTCTGTCTTAGCTAAAGATTCATATATGTTTGCAGATATTTTTTTAGACGAAAAAGTAGTTTAAATCTTCTGTTTTTTCTAGTTATACGAATGGATACACTATAAATGACCTCGGAGGAGCCAATGAAATTCAAGACTGTACTTTGGAAGATAATATGGTTAATTTGGATCCTTCAAAAATTGCATATTCTTTCAAAATAAGTAAAAAAGTATTGATTATTATATAAATGCCTATATTTTAATTTTAACTGCAAAATTTCAGTTACCATCATTATTAGTTAAAGTATTGGTTATGCAAATGATGGACTTGAGTCAATATAATGATAAGTCACATTTTCAGACTATTCTGACTATATTTCAGACATTTCATTGCTATTTCATGCTTTTTGTGTAAAATACCGCAACTTCTATGTGTATGTTTCTATGTGTATTGTTATGTAATGAAAGTTCCAGAAACTTCTGAAGTGCTTATCTGGAAACAATGTTATGAAGCAATTTGATGTAAAAATATCACCTAGAAGTCTGGTTCTTCCAGTTTATAGAAGAGCCTTGCTGCGGACGGGATCATATGGCAAGGAGTACTTGGGACGGTCTAGGTCTGTAACAGGCTGTAGTGCTTTGAAAGAGGAAGATTTTTTTGTTGTTGTTGTTAATTTACGTCGCACTAGAGCTGCACAATGGGCTTTGAAAGAGGAAGAAAAATTGGGTTAGTCACAATATTGTCTCAAGTCCTTCAAATAAAATATTAATAGTCATTAGTGTTAAATTCTCAGATTAATTTTTCTCTCCTTACTAAGAGTAATTGCCAATATCTCACTTTTGTTTCTCCTTTTAGTTCCTCGTCGTAGCTTTACGAGGAGAATTTTTTAAACAGCCTTGCTCTCTTAATAAACCTAAAGCACATCTATGTTTTATAAAGAAGTAAAAATATTAATGTTTAAAAAATATCAAACAAATTTGCGTGGTTTTTGTTTTGGATCTTAGAAAGTTAAAAAATGATCATGTTAATGAATTAAAAAATGGTATTGTTTGAAATTTTTCTCAAAAAATGAATCATTTTTTGACTCATAATTTTCTTTGAACATTTCATTTATTTTAAAAGTTGCACCAAACAAAATTTTTGTTTTGCTGAGCTTTACTTAAAAAAAATTGCATTTAAAAGCTTAAATCAAATTACACAAAGGGTGTTCTGAAACGATCACAATTATTATATATTTTCGAAAATATTTTCATAAAGTTATAAAGAAAACGAATTGGGGTAGCAAATTGATATTTAAGCGAGAAAAACAAAGGCGCAATCAAATTCTATTATATACTTGACAAAGAAGAATAGAATGAAGAAGAAAAAAAAAAACAGTTTAATTATCTGATAAAACTGAGTCGGCATTTCATCAACCTCTCTCTGTTTCCACCAAAAATCGATGATGTTTTTAATTCTGACTGATTTAGGACCAATTTTTAGACAATTCGTAACACAGGCTGCTAGACCTGTTTTATTGCATTATATTCATATACATATTTTGAACTACGTGAAAAATAAGTATATTGTTTGGACTTTCGCACAAAAATGTACTTAAAATGCAATAAGGTAATAGAGATGTTTTAAAAAACAGGTGACATGTTTACTTTTCGTACACAGTGTTTCTATTTTTAGTACAAAGAGCGTCTTTTAATGTATCATGCACCTTTATTATTTCAAATAGTATTGCTTAGAACATCATGTATCTTTATTTAGCACAAATAATATCAAATATAGGCTTTGATAGCCTACTGGTTAGAGAATCGGACTGTGGTTCAATCCTCGGTTTAGCTAAGATCTATCAAGAACAAGCGATATATGTGCTCGTAAAATCTGTGGAATCGAAAGTCCTGCAGGTTGCCTCTGAGCAGTAGTATGCTTTCAAAGATCAGGAAAAAATTTCTTTCCCTGTCAGATCTATTTCTAAACTATGGATGCGGCCTCCCGAATGAGTAATCCTGCCATCTATCGGTAAGGTTTTGAGCTAAGACATTCTTTCACCCTTGTTGTGCTTTCTTCTCAAAAGAAAAGCGCCAATAGCTTAGTGAACTTGAATATTATAAGTATCACCAGAAATAACAAACAGTACATCTTATGCAATTCTTAGTACTAAGTACAGCTATGCTAAGTACTAGCTATGATAGGTACACCTTGAGCAATTCTTATATCAAATAATATTTATGTACATCATACATCCCTACAAATACGTACAATATTACTTAATTCATCGTACATATTTATTTAATACAATTAGTTTTACTTTATACACCATACATCTCTCTGGTACAAACGTTTTACTTAATTCATAATAAAATTCATATTTAGTAAAAAAATTTTTAGTACGTGAGACATTTTTCCAGTATGTTATATAGTATTACTTAGTGCATAATGCATTTTTAATTTTTGTTCAAATAGTGTACAAAGTATAAACCATCCAAAATTACTAATTGGGATCATTCACTATCTCTCTCCTTGAAATGACCGAATGGGACCAAATTAAAAAAAAAAAAAAGGTAAATGAAATGTAATGGAAATATAGAACAAAGTTTAAAAACATGGTAAACAAACCTTTGTCAGTATCGTTAAAGTTTTTGTGTTCATGATACATACCAAATTATACTTTTCAAAAAGGAAAGATGAAAGTGAATAGTTATTTGCCTTTTATTCTCAAATCTAACACTAACTCGTATGTACCTCAGTAGCATGAACTCCATATTATTATTTTTTTCTTTTTTAGGTCGATCGAACAAATATGTAAATAAAAATGTAACTTTGGATTTTGGAGCAGATAAGGAAGTATTTTATATTGGGTCTGATTTAGAAGTTAAAGTGATTATAAGACAATTCGAAATATTTTTGGATGCCGAAACAAAAGGAATTGGTGTTATGTATCGGACAGAAAAGTAAGTAGTTTTATAGTAAGTTATCTTTTTACATCCTTACAATTAGAACAATATCGTATTAACTAAATTATTTTGAATGACTCACCTCCGATAAGTACTCAGCCTAAAAACCATTACTATTTTTTATCCATAATTTTTTTTAAAAGTAAGCATATTATTAAGAATATTCGAATAAGGGAATGTGCAAGGTTTTTTTTTCAATGCCCACCTTTTAGAATGACCCACCTCAGGCATAGAAAGTCAGATTTGTTAGCCACTCTCTCAGGGGCACCATATTAAGGTGTACCAACATTGCTTCCACAGTAAGGACAGATAGTACAGAGAATTAAAGAACATCCGTGCCTTGCCCGGGACTCGAACTCCGAACTTTTCTGATGCAAAGGCAGTTCCCTAACCCCTACACAGGCCTGTCGGCGGAAAGTGCAAAGTAAATTTTAAAAAATGCTTCTTGTAAAATAATTGGTTTCGAATATTTTAGCTGGTCATTTTAAGCATCTTGCACTCTAAAAAATGTCCGTAAAATTCAAAGAGTTGGCGTTGCTTAAGAGGTTGCCATATCTCGGGAGAAACTTTTCGTTGCAAATTCTCTTTCACCTCTGCTAATTTAAAATTTTAGGTTTAGAAAAAGTAAATTCAGATAAACCTTGGATAAACCCTACAGCCTCAAATACAGAAAATAAATTTTATTATATTCAAATGAAAATAAATTATAAGAAGATAACTTATTAGTATTACGCAATGGAGTAGTTCTCTTCCAATAATTTGTTTACATTTTGATAACTTGAAATTTTATTTTCAGCGATTGAAACGTCATAGCTTACTCTATGTTTGCCTATACTTACCTTTTCTTTCTTTTAAATTTTAAATTAGTAAGAGAATTTGTGACGATAAGCTTCTCCCGTGGTATGGCATTCTCTTAATACGGCCAGTTCCCTTAATTGAAAAATTAGCCCAGTACCCTTAAGAGAACTTTTTCATTATACGACACGACTATTTTCAAATCTGGACTGATCGTTGAGACACGGTTCCCAGCAGATCACCGAAGTTAAGCTTCACTGGCTGCAGTCAGTGTGTGGGTGGGTGACACTTGGATCAGTAGGCGAGGGACCGAGGATGTGCGTTATTGGTCCTCGTTAAACTGTTCTACCGTAAAGCGCTCGACTTCGTGTGCAGGTCGTCGGGCTACCGAAGTGGGAGTGCCATCCCCTCTGCTGAGGATCAGAATTGTGATGGCATGTCTTCGGACATCCTCAGGGATGTTGCCTAGACCGTCGCCAATAGCCCATTGTGCAGAACTAGTGCGACGTAAATGAATAGCAACAACAACAACAAATCGGATAACGAAATGACGGAATAATTGTATCGTGTTCGAATAGAACAGTGGATGCTTTTTCATCTGCTCGACATCGTTTGCTTGAGCTGGAAAAAACGGAAGTGCTATTGAGTATAGTAAATTGTTATTTTCTTAAAAATAAAATCATTATAAAAATCTTTTATGAAGAGTTTGAGGAGAGGGAAAAAATTGAAACGATATTCTTAACGATTTTACAAGTAGTAGTTTATCTATGTCGCACTAGAACTACACCATGGACTATTGGCCACGGTTTGAAAAACATCTCTAAGGATAATTCGAAGGCATGCCATCACAATTTTGATTCTCCGCAAAGAGCATGACTACCCTGCTTTGGTAGTCTGATGAACTGAACTACACGCGAAATGGAGCACTTGGCGGAAGGACCCTTTAACGATGACCGATGCCACTCACCCTTCGCTGGCTAACCAAAGTGATGACACACCAGCGCACTGAGTACAGCCAGAGATATTTAACTTCTGCAATCTTCTGGGAACCGTGTCATACGATCAGTTAAAAGAACCGTGTCATACGATCAGTTTATCATACGATCAGCAAAAGCAGCCTGTCCTCAGCCTTATTCAACACAAACCATTTTTGTTGAAAACACAAACTGTGGTTGTGGTGTTATCCATGTTTATAAAATGAGAATAAATGAGAATAAAGTAAATTTCACAAATACAGAAGTTTTACTTGTGATAGTTACGTAGTTTATAAATGAAAAAACTTGTGAACAATATTTATTTATAACATGTTACGTGTTTTTACAATGATTTTGGCACAAATTAAAAATTTAAAGAAAAGTTTAAAAAAATTTAAAGCTCAATTTTATGTATTTTGGACAATAAAAAAAATTATATTATGTGTAATTGTATAACGTTTTTTTAATACCGAATTATAAATTCGAAACAAATATACTATATGATAATTTTAACTACAACTGATTTTCTTACTAAAATATATAAGACAAAAGAGCAAAAGCAAATGCAAAAGGAAAAAAATGAATACGATTTGATGGGATACTTCGGGGGCTCATACGACATATCGTTTCCTTAAGCGATATCACTATGTCAGAGCCGACATAAATGCTACATCCTATCAGTGAATGAGAAATCACGTATGCTTCTGCAATGTATTTTACAAGATTTGGCGTAGTCGGACCAAAGAATATATACAGTATAAAAGAATAATTGTAACGAATTTCAACTAAATTAGTAGAGCTTATCGATAATTCACACGGTTTAAAGCTTCTTAACTCATTCAGGGGTATGCACCCATTTCCATGGTGGTTACAGCATCAAGCTAATGACACTTAAGTCCCGGGTTCAAACCCAGCCGATAACAAAGAGCATCTCTCTATATTGGTGAACACGCAGCTCTCTCGCTCTTCGACAAATGGCAGCACTAGACTTTTTCGCCTAATTTCATAATTCGTCTTGATTCGACAAACTAATCGGCTGAGTCTCACATAACGTGGAGTTTCGAAATGAAGATAACTTTCACGAACATATTATTAATTTACGGTCAGTGGCCATATATTTTACGAGAAGAAATTTATTTGTTAACCTATATTAAGATCATGAATGTTTTACTGGCATAAATGTATTTTGACGTTAAGCTATTGGAACACGTTTAGCCAGTCGATGTCTGTAATCTGACAGCAATCTGGCCAAGGCCCGGTTAAGGGGAACACTGGCCAAGGGCTTGAACTTCGTTTAATGCCTCCTATAGAAATGTAAGGTACTTAATTTTCACATTCAAAGCAAGCTTCAGTCTCAATCAAAAAAAAGTCACAGAATTTTCGAAAATTCATAAATATTAGCAGAAAATTAAAATATTGCTATAAATTATAATAGCAATAATTATTAATATATGTATAGATATATATAATATAATTTTAGTTTTAATATTAATATTGTGGAAACCCAAATATTTTATCACCCTAATTCTTATAAACAGATATAAAAACAAAAACAAAGGAACTAAAATTTATAAAAGTCTCACCTTTAAAACTTTTATATCATGTTCTTCCTCTCATTTTTTCCCCTTATATTTCTTAAACTGCCTTAGAATTTTTTCAGATTATAATAATATAATAATATCAAAATATATATAATATATAACAATATATAATAATTAATAATATATAATAATTAATAATATATAATAATTAACAATATATAATAATATCAAAAAATATGTTAAAGTAGCTATTGTTTTAATATGCGAAAATATTAATATTTTGTTCTTTTTAGGCCTAATGAAAGTATGAAACGAGATCTAATATACCCTCCATTACTTCTAAAAGACAGTGGTATGTAAATATGGGAAATTACATTCCCTTTTCTATATTCCTTTTCTTACATTCCATTTTTATTACATACGTATTTGTACAGTAATTTATTTTTTTAACACTCTCCTTTCTACTCCAATTTACTTGCTATATCAATAATCATTTTCATTTAAGTATACGTAACGAAAAGAACCGCTTATAACAAGATTTTCAAATGAAATAAAAAACACTGGTAAAATAAATCAAAATCTTAAAAAAATGACATGCTTAAAATTCCTTAACGAACAAAGAATGGTGGTTCTCATAACGGAAAATATTACGCAACCCCATGGATTAAATTTAATCATGCTTACCCTAACCTCTACAGGCCAAATTTATCACCCCAAAGAATTTATGGTCAATCAAAATTTTGACAACTTTTTCAAATCTGCACTGAATTTCTGCTTTTGAGAACAAATTTCCCACGGAATCAAAGTAGCAGACACAAAGCTAATAAATAATAATAATTATAATAAATTAAAAAGTTTAAGAACTAAATTTTCCTAGTTGTCTAAAAAGATAAAAATAATTTTATTTTGGCCAGAAGTTTATACAAAAGAGAATTTTGCCTCGACTAAAATTTCAGCTCACATTTTTTCAAAGAAATTGGCCACCGTTTTTCGATTAGGTCAGATAAAGATTAAAGAAAAATAAACTAATTTCTACTTCGTAGTCTACTTGTAAAACGTAATTTTCAAAAGAAAAAAAATACTAATGATTATGGTGATGGTATTAAGAGTTATTGAAAGAAGATTACTCAGTAAATGGCCGAAAAGATATTTTAAAAAATATCTGCAAGAAGCCTTATAATTTAGAACAATTAATTTTAAAGTATAGTGTAGAAACAAAGCGAGTGCCACCAGATCCGGCAGAACACGTCAGTTTGGAAAAAAATAAATACTTAAATTAATAAAATTCATTACTCACCCATGTTGCAACAAAATGAAGGACGTAAAAAAATATGATGACTGATGAAAAATATGATGTTTTTCCTTTTTATCTTTTCAGCCATTTAAGGTGTAACCATCTTTAAATAATTCTTAATACCCACACCATAATGATAATTATTTATTTCTTTTACCGTTTTATGGGGCCATTTTTTTCTAAAATGTTATATTAAAATAGATTTGGAATTGAGATATATTTATAAAAAGAAATTCATTTACATAAATTTCATTTAATTTTTAAGACCATTTTTTTGCCAAAAAGTGGGTTGAATTTTAAAAATTTATTTACTATAAGAATTTAGCCCTAAATTCAAAATACTGGGTTTAAGAATAACCAAATTTATAAATTCTGAATTTATAACTACAAATTAACTTGATGAGAAATAATTAAGTGAACAAATGCATAACACACAAGAGAAAGTAGCTGCCCAGTGTACGTCTCCCTTCATAACCCCTCCCCCAAACCTTTATTGTTACTTCCCTTAAATAACCAAAGCCCTTTCTTTACTTCTATGCATTCATTTATTTGTTTGCTTAGTTATTGCGTTTTCCGAAGTTGTTAGTAAAATACCTCACAAATCATAAGTGGGAAAGAATCATCAGTGGCTTCCCACCGAAATTTAAAAACTAAACAATTTCAAAGGAAGTATACATCCCACTACCATATAAAAAATTAAATAACTTTTAGATGCATTTTCGTTCATTATATTTATTTATTTTTTTAAAAAATGTAGGCAAAATATGTCGGGATGAGTCAGTTATACCCTTGACAAATGAAATGGCAAAAAGTTCTCTAATAACTGGAGGAAAAGGGTGTTCGCTTTCACTTCTTACAAGTCTATCAAGAAAGGATCCTTTGGTAAGCGTTTTACAGTTCTTTATTTTAAAATTATTTCGTAATTATTAATGTATTATTTTACTAATATTATATTATTTTTCTTAAATGATGATAGGGTATATACTTCGATAAATAAACAAATTTATTTATACAAGAATTATAAATAAGTTTTAAATTAAATAAACAACTTGAATGAAGCTTAAATACGGGAATAAAAACAGGCATATTATAGTTATGGTTTTATAAACAAAAACCATCCTCTGGGTCGATACGCAGAATTACAGAAGCTGACAGAACAGACTGAATGATGCTGCATGACTTTTTCTTGTTGCAACTTGTTTGTTTCGTGTTTTCTTCTGTCATTCGGTATTTTAACAGTGAGGAAGTTTCTTGTTCATAGCCATAACTAGAGTATGTCAATTTACTCACGTTGCTTAGCTTCATTTATTTAACTGCTTAGGATATAAATAAAAAAAAATTAAGTATGAAAATTAATTCAGGAAATAAAATTGATAATTGTTTTCTTTACACAGCAATTATTCACAAAAATAAACATATTTTATTAAAATTGTAATAATTGACTATTTCTTAAAGCAAAGCTCATAAAAAAATTTGAAATCACAATAATTAAAAATAAAAATACTTGGTATAAGTTTTTTCAAACATTTTTTGAAAATCGTATGGTAATTAAAAGTAAAAGAAAAGTTTCTCAATTGCAAATGACTTTAAAAGAGCAGGGTTGCTGAGATAAGAAAAATGAATAATATTTCCTTAGACAGACAATCTAAAATTTATTTCTCTTTTCCTTTAATAAAATATTTCAGAATACAAATTTCATCAAATTCAATGCTTGACAAGTTCATCAAAATAAGTTTCCTTTTTTAAAAAATAAGACTAAATCCTCAAATAAAAATCTTTTACTAATAAAAGGGGGAATTACAAGTTTTTTGGGGAAATGTTTTGCAAGTAAATTTTTTTTTTTGGGGGGGGGGGTTACAAGTATTTGTAACGAGTATGTCGAAAGATATCGTTACTTCTTTCCGAAATTTTTTTAAATGCTTCCTTTTTTAAAATTCTTTTATTTTTCTTTAAATTATAAATTTGGTGTATTATATATTCTTTAACAAGCTAACTTCTTATTCGGACATTTTTAAGGTTTGCAATTTCCGGAAATCAAAAGGGCGGCTGGTGGGAGGGACCATGAAACCCTAACTTTAATGTATTTTGTGAATTTAATAGATTTTGCCTGTATATGAATGCAATTTTTTTAAAAATTATTTCTTTAAACAAAATTATAATGTTATCGTATTTGTTCAACAAATTAATTTATTTCTAAAAATTTTGAAAGTAAAAACAAAATTTCTAAAGATTTAATAAACTTAAATTAGCATAATGTAAAATTCCTTTTTGATTTCTCGTTTGGTTTCTTTCAAGGTTCATTATTTTAGTAGAATTTTGTAGCATTTTCATGAATTTTAAAGTTTTATACCCTTAAATTAAAATTTAATGCATTTTAAATATTTTTAAAGCATTTTTTAATGAAATTTACGATTACTTTGAGTTTTCGATTTCCTCGAAATCGTATTTCCCTTTTTTTTTTCTTTTTTTTTGTACATGTACGTTTTACTTGTTACTTTTTAAAATCAAAACCTTTTACTTTTTACCTTTTACTCTTTGCTTAAAGTACTTGTACATTTAATCGTTATTTTTTAAAAGAAACGTTCTCTTTCATGCTTGCTAATAATTAAAATCTTAAATTTCTTTAAGCTGAAAATAAGATTTTAATATAATTTGACTGAATTAATAAAATTTGATTAAAAACTAGTTCGGAAAAGGAACTGATGGCCTCCTGTGTAACAAATTAATTTTATTTGCTTTAGTTATTAATGGAAAAACGCTATTTGACGCAGACTTTTCCAAATAGCTCACCAATATCAAGACTGTTTTTTAAAAGAGTTCAGTACCTTTTAAAATAACAATACCTAAATTTAATGCATTTTTTTGAAGAACTATAATATGCAATCAATTGCCTATGGTGTATTTTGACATAGAATTTAAGCATATCATGCTAGTTGAATTTTTTAAATTTTGTTTGATACAAAAGTTGAAAATAGAATTTTTTAACTTTTTATTTTCACAAAAAAAAAATTATACAAGTTTTTGGTAAGAGTTCCAGTCGGTTTAATTTCTTACACATAAATAATGCGTGCTTAAAAAGCTTTACTTATTTAATTATGACCAATTTCTTAAAAATGTACACAAAATTATAAAAAAAAATTTATAGTTTTGAGTGAAGAGCTCTTTTCAGTATACATTTACAGAGAGAGATAACGCGAGCAAATGATTAAAAACATATTACAAATTTGAAAAAAATGAAGTAGTAAAATTTAATTATTTAATTCAAAGTTACATTTTATTTAATTCTTTCGCCAAGAAAAATAAAAGAAAGTTCCTTAAATTCAAGCAGAGTGATTTTAAATTCTATGCCACTTTTTGTTGTAAAGAATTATTTGGGCTTTAGAATGGACGCATTTATACATTTAAAAAATCGTTAAACCTTTTTTGAAAAATTCATCGGAAGCAGATTTTTCTATCTAGATAAAAATTATTGAAACCAACAAATAATTCTTAATTTTTCTTAATTTTTATGAGTTTAGATAACGGATATGAGCCCTTTTAAAATAACTTTTTAAATAATAAATATATAAATTGGATCCCAAATTATATAAATTACATTTATAATAATAATAATAATAAATTATGAATATATTGATAAATATTCTATAAATTAGATCCAAAACGCTTTTTCATTTTTAAAAAATAGTGGCTTAACTTCAGTTTGAAATTCTCCGCCAAATTTCATAATCATAAGAGTCATAAAATATGACTAAGTAAAAGTCATAATAATTGTAAATAAATAATAAATAGTATAAATAAGTCATTAAATCAGACTAAAAATGGGGAATTAATAATCTAACAAGTCATGCAACAAATTCGTAACTGTTATGAAAATAGTATATTATTCATTAAAAATCGTTATTTTATTTGACGTCAGAGCCTTTAAAAGGAGTATCAAAGGAGTTGAAATAAAATAAAATATTAGTTCATGCAATCAAATAAAAAATTTTAAAATGTAAAAAAAAAAATAAGAAATTTTAAAATTATATGAGTGTTTTTTTATTTTTAATTTTTGTGACTGTCAAAAGTTATCTTTGATTAATCATTACGCTTATTTATAATTTCGAATTACTTAAATTTGATTATTTTAGTAAACGCTATATATTTTCTTTTTTTCAGTTCGAAGTTCCGAGAGGATTTGTAATAACAACTGCAGCGTTTGACAAACATATCAAAGCTAATCCTTCTGCAAATTTTGCAATTCAACGTGTTGTCAAAGTATCTAGGTAAATTGCATTATTAGAACCGCAGTTTTATAAAACTATGGTCCAAGCTAAGGCTACATTTGATTGTAATCATGTCTGTATACGAGCTTGCTTATTATCTAAATTTAATCTGTTGTAACATCTCAACTTTAGTTATCCTAAAGACGATAGCAAAACAAATTAATCGTTACAGAACATATTAGATTTTGACATCAAGAAGCGTCTTCCAGTTGCTCTGGCAACAAAAGAAGAGCAAAAAAAATCCTATTTAGAAATTGAACTAACTTGATTTTTTAATGTTGTGAAAAACGTTGTTTTTACTTATTTTTAGGAACAAAATATGTATTTCAAACTTTCTAAACACAAGATAACATTATTGCAAACTTCAAAGAATTCTTTGATGGTTATTTTTATCCATGAAATCATCATCATTGGTCAATTGATAAAAAAAAAGTTTTCGAGTATTGTAGTAAATTTTTTACTATGTACATTGAGAAATAAGTAAGAATTGACCAACATACACTTCAGTTTTTACTGTCCAATGTATATTGTTCAAGAAAGAATTGTTTGCATTCTGTTTTGTAATTATTAAAATTAAGTTGGTTGGGCATTTCAAGCGTAATTACTCTTGTATATTGCGCATGTGTTTCAAAAATGTCTCAAATATCAGCTTTCAATCTATTTTCGCAACATATTCCCTAAACATTCACTTTGAATAAGTTGCTGAAATAAAAATAAATAAATAAATAGTAAAAATGAATTAATAAATAAGCAATGAAAATAAATAAATGATGTATAATTTAAGACGATAGTTGTGTGAAAATGCGGTACTTTTTCTTTATTTTTTTTTAAAAAAAACTCACTAATTTTCTTAATAACCTTTTCTTTTTTTTAATTTAGCAACAAAATTTCTGGAGATCTTAAGGAAGAATGTGATAGGTAATTTACAACCAATTCATGTATTTTAATGAACGCAGCTTCAAATACTAACCAATATTAAATGTTATTTTCTTACACAGATGCACCAAAGAGTTTCAAAAAACAAAACTAGACGAAAATCTGAAGATTGAAATAAAGGAAATGTTATCTCGAGTATACGATACATCTGTTTCCTCATTAAGATTTTCAATTCGCTCATCAGCATGTGGTAATACATTCACGAATTTTTCCTTTTCTGTAATATATATAAATGTCTGCATTTATATTTTTTTCTTCCTTCAACTGATTATTGAAAAAAAAAACAGCTTTCAAACTTTGAACAACATATTGCTGCTGAGTAAATTATTCCAAATGTACAATGCGCCCCATGTATGGAATGCTCTTCAGAAATTTATGATCTAAGCAAAACCTTTTAAAACGATTTCGAACTTTCCTCCAATTTTTACTGTGGGAGAAAATTTTTATTACACATCCACTTTCACCACCATAAGTAGTTTAAAATTTAATGTATAGAAAAAGTGAATTCACGCAAACCTAGAGTTAGCCATGAAGCTTCAATTGCTGGAAAAAAAATTTAAATTATCAAAGTGTCTGTTCTATGTTAGTCTGAACTCATTTTTTCTATACTTTAAATATTAAATTACTTATGGAGATGAAAGAGAATTTGTGATGAAAAATTTCTCCCGCGGTATGTCATCCTTTTAATACTGTAACAATAAATGGAAAGCTGTAAATCATTAAAAAATTTATGGGTTAGATCCAATATAAATTTCTGAAGCACATTCCATTAATGGCATACATACATATTTGGAGGAATTTAACATATTTTTAAACATTTTTATGCATGGGAAACTGCCTTTTTTGAAAATTTCTTTTCCTAAAAAGAGAATACTATGAATAAGAAACTCACTAAAATAAATTTTTGAACGAAACTTATTTCCTTTTCTTATACCTTATATTTCTTGTTTTCGCATTACAAACTGATTTTAAAACTAAACACATTACTTAAGTTGTTCTAGTAATGTTCTTTTTTTCTTCTATTTCATATAGTAATACTCTAAAGGTAATGTAATAAACTAAGCAATAATTTTTTTTTTTAATATTAAGGTTGAGAAAAACATGTTTTCCAGTTTGTTTATTGTAGATTTTAAATAAAAGTAAGCTTAGAAAAGGGGGAAATAATATAACACATGTACCATATTATAAATTCATACGAAACATTTCAGCTAATTCTAAAAAATTACCTTACCTAAAAAATTACCTGTCCTTAAGCATTTATTTTACTTTAAAGATGAGGACAGTGAAGATTATTCCGCAGCTGGGCAAATGCTAACTGTTTTGGGGGTAAGAGGTTTGGAGAATGTAAGTACTTTATTGTGTTTATTTATTTACTTACTTACTTATTTATTTATTTTATTTAATGAAAAGAACAATGTATGAGAGTGTATCAACAAAATATGCTTGAGTCGGAATTTAATTCCTGACTCAAGCATAAAAGAAAGGCAAGAAAGAACTATTATTTAAATTGTGAATAAACACTTTTTTTTGCGTGATTTACTTCGGTTATATCTTGGATATTTAACTGATTAAATTAATTTTTTTAATTCGTTTTTTTTTCAGTTTTGAATCAAATAATAACAAAATTCCATTAATATTATTTAAAAATTTTGTTTTAAATATTCTAAAAAGGGATGAAGTTTAGGAAAATTTCGCTCAATATTACGGGAAAATGGCGGTTGTTATTCATATGAAAGTTCTGTTAGGTTCTAAATTTTCTTGACAATATAATTTTATAGTGTTTATTAATGTTTTGGTTCGTTTGATAATTTAATGTTGTTTCTCTGTTTAATGCAGTGGTTCTATTTAATAATTTGAACAAATGAATCTATATATATATATATATACTTTTTTTTTGCATTCATATTTTATAGATATACAAATCAATAGTTGAATGCTGGTCATCGAAATTTGGATATGAGGCCGTTCAATATACAAGGTAAAAGTTTTTTTTTTTTTTTATTATTTTTACATAAAGTTATTTTTCAACATTTCTGAAACAAAGACTTGTTCATGTGATTACTAACTACCGTGATTAAATACGTAGGATAATTTTCATTCTAAAATAATTCCTAAATGCTCTATAATTCTAAAAAAGGAAAATAAATTTGAATGCTGTATTATAAATTCTTACAATTTTTTATAACCAATATCCTGATAAATTTTCAAAGTAAAGAAGTAATAATAATTCAATCCATTATGAAAGTTTCTTTTGTTAGATTGCATATAAGGTCTATATGCTTAAATACGAAGTACCCTAAAAACAACAATGTTCTGAAACTTGAAATCCTAATTCAAGAATCTTCCGTCAAAGCAATATAATAAACCAGGAGCCTATCCCGATTCATTTAAAATCTTTTTAACGGATAATATCCAGTTGTAATTTCATCTCTTTTTTTTCAAGTACCCCAATGCGCTCTAAAGACGTAATATCGCAGTATAAAGGTGTAATACGCCACAAAAGGTGACGTATATTTCCACTAGTCAAATCACTACTTAGGATTTCGTCTTTGATAGTCATACAATCTCATCCATAGTACTAATTAGAATATTTTTTTAATCAACAGCAAGAAAATGCGTAATATCCGAAATATATGCTACTAAAGGCAGCATATATTTCCGATATCGAAGTCACTATACTTAGGATTTCCTCTCTGATAGTCATACTCCTTATCCACAGAATTTTGAGCATCTTCTTAATTTACAGCAAGAAAAAGCGAAAGAAACCTTTCTTATTAAACTTAGATGAGTTGTAAAGTAACCGTCGCATTTGATTTTTCGAGTGACCCTAATTGCATTCCGACGATTTTAAGTCATTAAATGCCGCAACGTTTCCTCCAGATGTTCCAGAGTTGGGCGTTGATACCAGCCATCAATAATATCTGTAACAGATAATATATAATTACTAAAATGAGAACCAGTAGTCTCATCTAGGACAATTCTCCGGTTATATTTTTAACTCTCCAGCCAATCTTAATGTGGTTAGAATTTTGATTGACGATAAACTAAATTTTGCAAAAGAAGGACGATAAGTATTGCTTTCATTAGTCAAGAAATGATCGAAACTTTTACTGTCATCAGGCGAGGAGTATTCTAGCTTGTCGGAAGGGAATCGAAAAACCAATAGCAAGATTTCATCGCTACAGACACAAAAGGCAGGCAAATAAAAAAGAGGTTAAAATGCAATCTCGCATTTAAAGACTGAATATCTTTAAATACAATAAAATGCCCTAGATTAGATTACTAAGGTTACAGATGAGTCCTAAAATTTCATATTTTTCCTATGAATATGTCCATTAAATTGCCAAATTTGACGTAATTGTGAAAACTTATCTGGAATATCGTCGTATTCGGACACACTGACGTTATTCTAATGTACCTTCAAATTTCAAAAGTACTTTATAATTTCGATCTTTATTATAACTTGCTTGCTATTTTTATTATCTCATGAATTTAACTGACTTTTTAACACTCAATTTCAAGGCAAAGTGGGAAACTCATTCGATCGCCGATGGCAGTGGTTGTACAAGAAATGATCCCGTCAGAAATCTCGGGAGTATTGTTCACAGTAGATCCAGTAACTGGCAATCCGTCTCGACCTCATATTACAGCAAACTATGGATTAGGAGAGGTAAAACATATGTTTCTGAATACCTCCACCCACTGATAGCACTGGGGAAGAATTTCTTGTTGCATTAATATAAATACTTGATCTTGCATAATTCGAGTGTGAACTTGCCTAATTCCAATTCTGAAACATAAACGGGTTACGTAAATGTGGTGACCAATATCTAGGGCACATCATCAGGTTTAAACTGGCATAAGAATCCATGTCCGGAAACGTCATCGTGCGCAACTACAGTCACTTTTCCCTGTTTCCTTGTGCCGAAGCACAGGACGAAACTGTTTATTACAATTATTTTTTAAAAATAATTTTTTATAATTTTTATTTGAAAAACACCTACCAGTGCAAGATTATATTTCCCGGCAAGGTTTCCGATACAGTTTTAATCCTAATGATCTGCCCTAACTCACCTAGAAGTTTGTCGCAACGGTAACGTGACTACCTGTTTCACATAAAGTTTTTAAAATTGTACTTTTCGATAGAAAATAGACTAAAAATGTCATCAAAAAATCTTTAGCTTGCAGAGAGAAACGGATTTCAGTTTTGAAATCAGTGATACGAAAGTATCTGAGATCTGTTTTAAAAAATCTCATGCAACAGAAAACAAAAACAAAAAGGTTTCCCCAGTGCTATTTATAACACTGTACAACACAAAAAAAGTTCTTTAAATTTAAATATATGTATTTCTTTTTTTGTATATCTTTGACTGAATATAACGAATGCCCAAATATTTTTTTTACCTCTTACATTTTCCCTTAAAACAACATTTTAGCCTGGTGACTTAACGCATTTTTCCAGATAAAAATAACAGTTTATATGATGCAAAGGAAAGGTGCTGTCACAATGGGACTCTCACCAACTTAACAATCACTTTGGTGATCTTGGTAACAATTTTCGTGACAAAAGCTTTATCTATCTTTCCGAAGTTCAATGTCTCTAGATGCATTAGCGAGCGATACATCCATGAGTCACTAAGCTTCTAATGAATGGAAACTTGGCTGCTTTTCTTCCAAAGAATTGCATGTTTTGGTCCATTTCAGTTTTAATATACAAAAGAACAGAAAAACATTCAAATTTGTTGAACAAAGTAAATTTTTTAATCAGGAATTTCCATGATAAATAAACTTATTTACGTCAGATATTTTTAAAAAATTATAATTATTTTAATTCTAATTTTAACAGACAGTTGTGTCATCATTGGCTGAACCTGATACAATTGTATTGAAAAGAATAAATGACTCTTTAGAAGTGGAAACGAAAACAATTGGAGCTAAGCAAACTCAAGTGCATATGACAGGTATTTGAATTTACGTCAAAATGTCTTAAATAACTTTTTATAATATTTTTTTTCATCCCCATTGACGAACACCCTATTCAAGTAGTGGATATGATATAAAAATGTCCATCAATTCAAGAGACAAGAAAACTTTTGGGTTAAGCATCGAGACCGATCAACACCTCGTTGAGAAAGCCCTCGCATGAATCAAATTAGTGTTCTGGCATAGCGAACATAAACTGATAACATTATTGAAGGAAAATAAGAAAGATATCACAACGTCTGAACTACTAAACTGAGCGGTGAGGGAAAATAAAAAATGTGTTGTTTATCTGCTTATCTCTGCTAAAGACAGCATTAATATTCCTTTCCTTTAAATGAAAAGGGTTTTTCATATAAATTATGTGTATTAAAAATCTATTTAAAAAGTTTAGTTAGTAATTTTTAGCTTTTAAAACTGAAAACTCTTTCATATTTTAAATTGGAATACGTGAATTATTTTAGGAAAATATATTAATTTATTTTAAATTTTTCAATGTCTAATATATATTTTTTAAATAAAAATTGATAATTTAAATTTTATTTTAAATTTTATTTCGAAGACTAATTAAGAAAATTTTAGAATTTTTCTCCTGAAAAATGCTTATGTCATTTTTTTAATTATCTTTTAAAATATAAAGATTTTTAAACATTTCTAAAAATAATTTGACATTTTCCAATTGAAAAAACCTTATTTCTATATGAAAAAAAAAGAATAGGAAGGTAATTTTCAATTAACTTGAACTATAGAAATACAAAAAATTTTTTTAATATTTCAAAAAAAATTTTTTTTATTCATTCATTATTCGGCAAGAATATTAGTTTTAAGAGAAATTCCGTTTCTTAATAATTATTGCTTAAAAAACATTCCTATTTACCAAACAGATAAAAATTGACACTAATAATTGAAATAATAAAATTTGAAACAGTTTAATAAATAATATTTATTAAACTTTTTATCTAAGTTTAATAAATATTTCTTCAAGTATATACTTTAAATATATAAAAACTCATCATATTAAAGAAATGAAAACTCTCAAAAGCAAATATAAAATCTACACCCTATTAAATACAAGGTTGATTTGCTAGCGATTCGGCTACCCATTCAGGGATAGTACTAAATAATACCCTATTAAATACAACGTGGATACGTTAGCGATTCGGTAACTCCTTCATAGATAGTATTAAATACAAGTGGGATAGATATAGTATGAAAAACAAATAGTATTCAAAACAGCTAAACAAATAGTATTAAATACATCCCTACTAAATACAATGTGAATATTTTAGCAATTCAGCAACCCATTCCGGGCTAGTATATGCCTCGAATTTTACAGACACCTACTTTTTATAGGCTACATCAACTTAATTTTTTTCGCAATCGAGTTCGTTTATTGAAAATACAAATAAAAAGAAGAGAAGAAAATTATTGCAGTTTCAAATTTAAAATGGTATCTTTAAAATAAAATTGTTTTATTTGTTGATAAGAAAACCTCTTCTTCGTCAGATGAATACGGTACAGAACAAAAAGAATTTGAAAATGAAATTGAAGCAGCATGTTTAAGTGATGAATGGGCCATAATGATAGGAAAGGCAGGAATTTTGGTAAGTTTTATCAAAAATATTAATGAATTTTGTATGAACTTTATGAGTATAGTGTAGCTATTAACAAATATTCTGTGTAAAATTTTTGTAACTATAAAATATGAATCGTTACTTTTAATGCTTGAGATGCTAACCTCTTGGATCCATTACCCTCTTTTGTATTATGTCTTATATAGTTTTATATATTTTATGTTACCTATATATCGTTCTCTTTCACTATCACATAATTATTTTTTTATCACCACTTCATTTGCTTTTAATATTATTTCATGCCGTTTTATTTTGATTTCATTTTCTTACATCATCATCTCACACCATTGTTTCTCAGCATATCACCACAAATAACAATAAAACAATAAAGTTTTTTGGCAATTTGATAGAATTACACCAGTGTTTCCCAAACTTATGACTCTTGAGTACCCTTTATAAATTTTTCGTAGCGCTGTGTACCACTAATAAAAGAATGAATTTAATGTTTACTATAAAAAATTTGCAGAAAAGTTAAAAATCACAACTGGCAGTTGACACCACTAATTATTAACTGTTAATTGTAAAAATAGTTATTATAAAAATATGTAATGTAAATTTTCATGGCTAGCTTTATTTTTAAAAAAAAAATTTTTGAAATTTTCGTTTGCTGCAAGATATTTTACAAAAGAACGCGTACCCCGTTAAACTGTTCCCGTACCCCTGGGGGTACGCGTACCACACTTTGGGAAACACTGAATTACACCATTGTCTTAGTTTATTTAATTTTATCATAGTTTTACTTAATCGTTTGCTCATTGAATCATTCATTATGGTTTTATTTTGCCATTGTTTTCTTTCATGATTTATTATTTTATTATTTCATCTCCTCATCATTGTAATTCGTTGTAGTTTTTTTTCATTAGAGTTATATTTATTGATTTATTTATTCGAAACAATATCTCTATTAAAATATACTCTGCTCCCATAAGTAGTTGGATACGGGGGCCGTCTGCTCCAAGGATTCAGGGGGATCCGAGATATTCCACCTCCTCAACTATAAGAGAAGGGTTTTTTTGCTGATATTTTTTTTTGTTTTTTTTTTTTGCGCAGAAGAGACTCATCAAATGCAATATATACTATAACAGAATACTATATAACAGAACAGAGTACTATAACAGAGTGGTTTTCAAGTACTCACGCCCTATCATGACTCCTCAAGATTTATCAATTATAAGAGAAGGCGTTATCAGATTTTGAAATTTTGTTTTGAAGAAAAAGTTCCTTTTTATGCTTTGAGGGACTTGTTTTAGAAAGTATTGTTTTTTAAAAAAAAGATAGAGCATATAAATATTATTTTTTCCTCGGAAAGAAAATTTTCTGAAAGTAATTACTTTTAAAAAGTCTGCGTAAAAAAAATTTTTTTTTCACAGACAGAAAAAGTAAAAATTTTCAATTTTTTTTCCTTGAACAAAAATTTCCTAAGAGTATTGATTTTTTTTTAAAAAAATTCCTAAAACGAAATTTTTTTTTCTAGATATAACCCTTAGGAAAATTTGCCATAGGTTTGTCATAAAAAATGCCATAGGATATTCTTATGGGGTTTTGCCATACGTATATGGCATAAGTGTATGGCAAAATTTTACCATAGGCAAAACCCCATAGGAATATCCCATGGCATTTTTTATATGGCAAATTTTTGCCATACGTATATGACAAAATTTTGCCATTGGCTAAACCCCATAGGAATATCCAATGGCATTTTCTATGGCAAATTGTTGCCATACATGTATGGCATAATTTTGCCATACGTATATGGCAAAATTTTACCACAGACAAAACCCCATAGGAATATCCTATGGCATTTTTTGATACGGCCAATTTTTGCCATAAAACTAAGATGTGCTACAGTTTATGACGAAATATTTTTCCATAGGCTATGGTACACCTTCGCCATACAGCATATGGCAACATTTCTCGCTGATATTTTACCATACATCAAAAAATTATTCCATGCCCAGTTTAAATAAGTGCATTATACTTAAGATAAAAAAGTTTACTTCAAAGCTTTATCTAAATAGAAAAATTCCTTAGAGATTTAATTAAGATGTAAACACAAAATTATCATCTATGAGAAAAAGCACTTCAATGTTTTGTTTTTGTCGAAAAAGTAATTATAACATGCCAAAATGTGTTTTATTTATTATGCAAAACAAATTTATTCAGTTATATATGTAAAAAGCATAAAAAAGATTTTAAAAAATAAAAATATATTTAAATATACAATTTTTTTTTTATTATTTAATTTTTTAAAATTTCAGGCACTTTAGTTATTTATGAGAAATTTCAATTATTTTATTTGACATATTTAGAATTTCTTTCTCATTCTCACAAATATAATGAACCATATAAAAGTACCAGATCAGCATAGACATATTTTTATCTTTTTAAAATCCCCCGGATTGGTAAGTTATGCTTTCTTTTTTTATTTTGTGGCATTACGGCGCTTTATGGCAAGTCATATTCTTTTGTCTTGCAGCAGTGTTCCTACGTTTCCTAAAATATACCCTTCTCTTTTCAATGAACAAGACTGTTGTATCAGATTTTGAAATTGATAGTCAATTATTACGGAATTTGAAATAAAATGAGGCTTTTATAATTTATTTGGTTGGATTGAATTAGCAGATGCGAAACTGAAACCAGCTCTTCAGCTGGATTCAGTTGATTATGAATGTAATGTATTTTTTAACATACAATTATATCTTTTTTTTTATTAGGTTGAGAACTGCTTTTGTTCACCTCAAGATATAGAATGGGCTTGCTACAAAAATAAGCTATATCTTCTTCAGGTACATTTTTTGTCTTAACTATGGAAAAACATTCCAAGTTTTTCTCGCCAATTATGCTGTATTGCAGTATTACTAGTAAGCTAGACACAGATTTTACAGTTTTTGAACTAAATTATTTTTTTTTAATCTTTTTATAAAATTGAATTTTAGATTATCTGTTTTCATAACTAAATATACTAAATGAGAATGCATAACTAAAAACATATTAATATATTAAATTATAACTATTTTATTTGTGCTTTTATGCATACGTTATCGGTAATGTATGAAACACCAGCATTCCATAGAATACCAAGGCTTTGTAGGTTATACCTAAACATTTTATAGAACTACAAATACTTAATCAGCAAATGATTTAAAAAAAGTCATTATTAAGGCTAAATGTTATTCTGAAGAAATAAAAAATTACTATCTATAAGGAGGCCTATTTTGCATGTAATCGGCCATGCATAAAATGCCACCATTGTATAAAATGCATGCCTGGTGTGCTTCATCATTTGTCGGTTTGCCATTTATCGGAAGAACTAAATATTTTTATTCACCAATGAGTTAGTGATATATTTAAATAAGTATGTGCATTTGTTGCATTTGTTGCATTCAGACTCCGAAAAATCGATGCATCTATCAATGCTAATGTACTTTTTGGTTATTTTAGTAACTTTATTGTATATAGTAAAATATACACCCAAGAGCCATTACATTATGACCACCCTGGTAATAACTTGTAGGACCCCTTTAGCCCTCAAAACTGCTAGCACCCGCCTTGGCATTGATTCCACAAGATGCTGATAGGTAGTCTGAGGTATCTGGTACCAAGCGCTCACCAACTGGTCCTGCAATTCCCTCACATTGCGAGGGGGTAGAGTGGCAGCACGAATTTGGTTTTCCAAGTAGAACCACAAATGCTCTATTGGATTAAGGTCAGGTGAGTTTGGGGGCCAAGACATGACTTGAAAGTCACTGGAATGTTCTTCGAACCAATCCATGACGATTCTACCCTTATGACATGGTGCATTATCCTGTTGGTAAACACCATCCCTCGCAGGAAAAACTGTTGCCATGAATGGGTGAACCTGGTCTGCAACTATGTTCAAGTAGCTTACAAACGTCAGGGATTGTTCTATGAGGATTATGGGTCCTAATGTGCCCCATGAAAATATTGTTCCTGGGCGAGAAACCATGAAAACCTGGGCGAGCTCATTGTTATGGATGGAGGGTGGTCATAATGCAATGGCTCTTCGGCTTATATATTCTCTTTATATAACATATTTATATATTAACAACGTACTTATGTTTTCCCTTTGATTAATTTTAATTTTAATTTTCTTTAAAAATCTAATTGCAACTTTTTTACTAGGCTAGGCCTATTACAACTTTGCATACTGAAACGGAATTTGAAATGACACATGACCAAGATACTCCGATGAAGTCATGTAGTGACTACTGGACGAGAGCTAACGTCGGGTACGTTCCTTAATTCATTTTATAACTCTTCAACTTGTGCAAAAAGTCCTGCGCTGTTAGAATATTAATTCTAAATTACGGTAAAATAACCAGCAGCAGTCTGTCCAACCAATTAACTGTAAAGTGTTCTTAAGTAACTGTAGAGTGTTCTTAAGTCTTCTTCTGTAAAGTGTTCTAAGGTAAAGAACATTCTTTACCTTTACGGTTTTGAAACCGTTTACAGTTAGTGTGGTTAAAGAAACATGAATACAAAACTACATAGTTTCTTAACCATTAACAACTAGCATGGTTTCAAAACCGTAAAAATTTTTTTAACAGGACATTAGATGTAGGCATTTCGTTTGGTAATGAGCAATGATCAAATGAGCGGTGGAATATGGTTTAATTAGTTAATCTGGTTGCTTCACCTATCGTAATAGATGGGAAAAAACTATACTTTTTGTGTTAAGCAAATTTATGGAGTTACCATCTATGCTTGAATGAAAGTATTGTATTCTAATAGTCCAGGGTCTCAAATTAAGAAGGGCAGGACACTGGAAACATTCATGTATTGAAGAGAATGCAGCAAATATTGATGTGCCATCGCTGTCCGTCATGAAATTGACAGAGTAGCCATCTGGACTATAATATGTACCCAGTTGCAAGAAACTAAGTGACTTCGTTAGGTGAGCCTCGTTGGTGCGATATAATTCTAGTTGTTTACCAATATTGAGTGGAAACTGTTAATAAATAGTTAACAGTTTTAAATTCCATCTAATTTATGGTTACTTGACTGTTTTGCTAGAATATGGTAAAATAACAATTAAATTAGTTGTTCTTTAACCACTTTTTTCGAGAAATTTCTAACTGTGCGTACAAACAAAATCTTCCATTATTTCGTTATGTTGCACTTTCTTCACGTCAATTAATACTTATTTATTGTAGATTATATTATAGTAGAAATTTTTATTAATGTAAGAAATGTCGAATATTTTTTCAAAATTAAATGAAAATTATTATTAGAAAAAATAATAATTTCCAAAACGTGTTTTTATACTTCAGTATAAAAAAATTAAACATTTAAAAAAAGGAAATGAAATAAAAGTCAGAGAATATTTCAAACATGCATTATTATTTGCGAACGAATTAAAAATTATTTGCTTGAAATAGATTTTTATGAATATGCTTGAAATACACTTGAAATACATCATTATATAGGTTTAAACATAGGTTGTTGAATGAAAAAAAAGATGCGCCAACATTTAATTCTATCGAAATTTTATCATGCACTTTGGGAGCAAAATTCGTAACAACCAGCCATCGTTTGGGTTTAAACCTGGGTCACCTTATTGAGAGAGATCTATCTCCTGATCCCACCATAAAATCTATTTAAAATTTTAAACTTTGTCAAAAAATTTTAATGCATTATTATTTCTTTCAGAGAAGTTTACTTGGGAGCAATGTCGCCTTTGGGTATTTCAACAGTGACTGCTAATAACGACATTTATAGTTTGGTGAGATTTTGTTGCAGTTATTTTGTGTTGTAATTATTTTACGTTGTAATTATTTTGTGATATGGGAATTCCAGGTTTCGCAACAAAATTAAAAATAATACAGTTTTAAGTTGAGTCTTAAAAAGTAAAAACAGTAAATATCATTTCATTTCTTTAATCCGCTATATAATTAGAATCAATTTAAAAATTGTGCACCTAAATTATATGCTGACCTGTGTTGTTTATGTAGGGAAAAAAAGTGAAAAGTAATATTTTTCGAAATAATATTTTAGACATCAGTAGCAGTGTATAGATATCACAAGTTTCTAAATATTGACTTACTATTAGAACGAAGTGTAATTTCATATTTTTTTAAACAATCTTCATTCAATATTTCTCTAAAATAGACTTTCTTACATAATTTCAACCATGAAAAATCTTTTGTTCCAATTTGTAACAATTTAAATTTTTGTTTTGATTTAGAGAAATCGGTTCATCAGAGAGCTGTCCCCCGAGAAAGATTTTTGTCCATATTTGTTTCATATTCTTCCAGTCACTCACAGACAAGTAGCATTAAATATCATTAATGTAAGTATACGAAACCTAAATTACTACGATTAATTCCAAAATACGAGGTTATACTGAAACGTGTTAAACTATCATAGAACAATAGATTCTAAAATCTTATTACATTAATACTTTCAGCAAGCAAGGTATACTTACATTGGGTACCTGGACATATGGACATTCTTGGAAATGAGCTGGCTGACGAAGCAGCACGGGTTAGCTCTAGTGCGATTTTCTGGGACCCTGAACCAGCCTTGGGTATCTCTCTCCCATCATTCAGGGCATCTATATTTAAGCTCTATGGCAAAATTGCCCATGAGCAATGGCGCAACTTGGATGGTCATAGACAAGCTAAAGAGCTGAATCGTGTCTGTCCTAGTGTACATAAAAAAGAGTTCCTTAATCTAAACAGGAACCGTTTGAGGAAGATCATTGGTCTTCTCACTGAACACTGCACCCTCAGGAGACACCTATACATTATGGGTATTGAATCTGATTCCCTTTGTCGAGGTTTTCATCTTGAAGAGGAGACTTCGCGACACATGATTGTGAGGTCTATTCTGCTCAAATATTTAAGCTTTTGGGGCAGCATTGCATTAAGGTTTAGGAACTGCAAGACGTTGTCTGTTTACCGAACTTCTTTTCGCTATAAAGCTTTCTTGTTAATCATAATTTAGGTTTTGGGTACAATAGACCTCAGATCGACGTGTCCTGCTCTTTCGAGCTGCCCAACCTCTAAGTCTAAATCTATTACTTTCAGCAAAAACACGTTTGAAATTTTTTTAATAACTTTAATGTTACAAGCAGCATTATATTATCAGCAACATTTTGTAAAACATTATAAAATTCTTATTATATTTTAGAATATGTTAATCTTTGTAAGAATAGTCAGTGGATTATATTTTAAAGAAATAAATAAATAAATAATATATTATAAGAATTCGATGTTTCCTACATTTTTTGAAGTCTCAAATCAGATTTTTAGTTAAAAATAACAGCATAAGAAATATGTTCATGTCCTGGACCACACACTACATAATCAACCATGATATCTGCAACCTAAATCCGTTGTAACGATGAACCATATCCTAGTGGAACGTAAACCATTTTGTGTTAGACAATATTGTAGTCCTCTTTGAACGGAAATATATTTTAATTTAGTACCCTATAAACCATTATTTCACGTCTGAAAATGGGCACCTATTTTTGAGCACTTGAAACATGTCAACTGTTATTTTCAATTTGTATGTTTTTGAAGCGAACTAAATTTTGGATCAGGTAATATCTTACCGCTTCAGTTTCCTAGCATTATTTATTTAATTCATACAAACCGCATTGTCATGCAAATTCTTTTGAAACCTTATTGAGGTTGCAGAAAATTTACATAATAACATGATTTAGCGTTGAACAGTAAAAGCTTTAAACTCTTACTCAGAGTCGACTAAAAGAATTTTACTTAGACCATCAAAAATTGTCACAAATTAACATTACAAGTCGACTCTGAGTCGACTTGTAATGTTAATTTCTGGAAATTTCTGACGATCCAAGTGAAATTCTTTTATAACTTCCTGTTTCTAATTAAATAATTTTTCATTTTTAATTATTTTTTGCTGCATACATGTACTAACTCGAAACACTACGTTGATTTTCAGGTTTTATTTCGGGCCAATGACAAAGAGATCAGCAATTTTCAGAAATCATTCGAAGTAGCTTTGTTTGGAAGACTAATAGGAACTGAGGAAATGCATAAAGCTGGAATAAAGAAACACGGATACATGACACGTATACAGCGTTTAATTGGACTTCCCTATATATTTGTGGTATGTCCCTTTCAATGCACTATGAGAAATTTTTAAACATGCTCAATTATATTATCTTTTAAACTTGCTGCAACCTTCATAAAAGGCTAAGTTAAACCATATTATCTTACCTGATAACACGATTTTAGGGATCAAATTGAAAGGAAACAGAAACCTACATAATATATTATTAAGCTGAACTACGTTTTCGCACTTCGTGACCTTGATTACAAGATACTTTGCTGAAATTTGATCAGTAACATGACTTAATGTTGTTGTTATCGTTTGACAAGTGCAGAAAAGTACAAGTTAAATGGGACCAAAGGCACAGCCCTGGACACATCTCCGACTTTTTCGGAATAAATGGTGTCATGGCAGTAGTTGAGGTCGATGTTGAAGAGGGTCGAGGCAACAGAGACACAGCTGAAGAGATGCCTTGGATCCAGCTGAGCACATGGGCAGTGCGCAATCTGCGTAGGTACTATAGCCGTCGGGCATGATCTTCATACCTCTCGTGTGCCTCTTCCGCAATCTGCTGATGATAGTGGTGATTTCACGGTCAAGATTAAGCTCCGGAAGGCACCATTTCTTCCGAAGTCAGCCGCAGAGCTGGTGTTTTGTGACGGCATTTGCATCGAAGCAAGTGGTTTGCATGGGAGGGGGATTAATATTTCTAGCCTCCTTAGCGAGGAAGTCCGCTTGTTCATTCCTCTCAATGTTAACATGAGCGGGGACCCATTGGATGGTGCAGGTTTTCTCCCTGGCGACAATGGTAGACAGAAGCGCGTTGATGTCTTGGACGAGTCTCGTTTTACCCCCTTTAATGGCCTCCAGGGCAGATTTACAGTCAGAGAAAATGATGATGCCTGTGAGAGGTAAAGGTCAAGAGCGGATTTAATGGCGATCAGTTCGCTAGTGAAGTTGGGGGCGACTTTGCCGGCTGCGACCCTATGTTGGATCTGGGAGGAGAGGGAAGATGCCAGTACCTCCTCTGTTGCATTCTGAGTTGGAAGAGCCGTCAGTGTAAGCGGTGACAAGGTCAGGTTTAGAAAGCTTGACAATAGTTTCCATGCTCTTTCTCTTAACGATTTCTTGTGATTCTTCTTTCGGACACGGTTCCAGCAGGTCTAAATTGATCTTAACGGTAGACGGAGGTTTTACAGCTAAAAATGGTTCCTCAATAATGGCAAGGCATGAGTGGTTCAGGCTGATGTTCTTTCTGATATATTTGTCGTATTGGAGCGTGGAGGATCTCTTCAACCTTTCCATGTTGGTCCAGGCCCGAAAAGTAACAACATGACTTAATATAACACTTTATTAAGGTTGTAGCAAATTTGTCCCGTGTTATAGTAAAATGATCAACGGGGATCAACATACTACCTTATTAAGTTGAAATATGTTATCCCACCTTTTCAACTTGATTACACGATACTTTGATAAAATTTGATTAGAAAAATGACTTGCTATAACATATTATTAAGGTTGCTGCAGCCAGACATGTGAAATCACTTTTATAATGTTTTCTCGTCATGAGCGCCATCTGTTAATGATATTTGTAACTAATTATGTAGCTTTGTGAGAATACATATATTTGTGAGAATTCCTAAGCAGAACACAACAAACTGAACATTTCAATCGTGTTTCTTTTTTTTTAATTCGCAATTTTTAAATCGTCATTCATTTTTAAGACACTCCATTGTGTTAACAGTTAAAAAAATTTTATTTATTTAATTTTCAGATTTTATGTATTTATTTATTTATTTTTCTTTCTGTACTAGTAACGTCCTCCTCCCTAATAAATTCAAGCAACTTTCTCTTGAATAAAAAACTTCTATACAATTATTCAGGATTGAATACAACCTACTCTCTTTAGTTCGACCTCCCATTATTACGACCGATAGATTTCAACTATTATCTTTTCCGATAGACGTAATTTTATTTTAGTGCCAATTAGAAAGCCAACACTAAACCGTTCCTTCCAATATAGTGGCCTGAAATTTAGTTCTACTTTTTTTAATCCCATAAAAATCACTTTGAAAATAGATATCAAATTTTTTTTCCGTTTTCAAACGAAACGATTACATTAAACAAAAGATTCATTCGATACAGCAAAAGCTTCAAATAAATTATGTGTGCCAATATTTCTTTTAATGTTACCGCACATTAGATGTATAACACCTTGAATATCCTTTGAATGCTAGAAGCATGATTCTATCCCAAATTCTTGTCCTAGATCACTGTTTCCCAAACTTTTGACTTTAGTGTACCCTTTCTAAATTTTTCGTAACGCTGCGTACCACTAATATAATAATGAATGTATTTTTTAAAAATACGTTTATTTTTCCTTTTTGCTACAAAGTTTTGTTAATAAGTTTATTTGCATCAGTGAGAAGGATGATATTGTTTTTGCTATGATAAAAAAATTGCACAAAAGTTAAAAATTACAATTGGCTGTTGACACCACTAATTATTAACTCTTAACTCAGCAAAAAATAGCCAATGCAAAAATACGTAATGGTAAATTTTTATGACTAGCTTTTTTTTCAAAATAAAATTTTTTGAAATTTTCATTTGTTGTAAGATATTTCGCATAAGAACGCGTACCTCCGCTAAACTGTTCCCGTACCTTTCGGAGTACGGGAACAGTTTGATGACAGTAGATGGTCGAATCTTTTTCCTTTTCTTAAAAATTTTCAGAAAATTTGGTATTGGTAATTTTGTGAATTCACATTTGACCTCACGTGATAACATCGGACAAAAGGGGTCGTTACATCGAGTGTCGACTTTATTATAGTAACTCTTATTTTTTATTTTTCAGTTTGCATATCTAGTTCCAAAATGGGCTGAACAGTACGAGAAAAAACTTCGTAATTATCAACTACCCTTAGAAAGTTTCACATCTGTAGAAAAGACTTGGAATGCAATTATGGGTCAGATGAAATTTATTAATGAGGTAAAGATTTTTAAAAATAATTCGTTATATTTATATTCCTTCTAAATAACGTATCAAAATTTTATTCTCAGGTTACTAATGTGCACGGAATGGCAACTTTCCTGTCTTCATTTTACAATTTATGGGTTCTGAACATTTTGTCAAGAAAGAAAAAAGGTAAGACAAACTCTTTCATAAAATGTTTTAAATTATTGCGAAATTATACAGAAATAAAATATGTATTTTTAAAAAAATTGTTTCATAACATGAGATATATATCAAGCGTAGGTAAGATTTTTAGAACAAAATGGAACATTTAGAATAAAGTAGAACATTTAGAATAGACTAAAGCAAAACACAACATGAATGAAGCACAAATGAAAGTACATAAGTTGACATACATAGTTTCAGTTCTATGAACAAAAACCTACTTCAGTATCTAAACACCAGTTGTCATGACGTCAATTTCGTCTGAATAAGGCATGTGTCTTATTGAAATAATATTTCGACGTGTTTATTCACTTCATTCCCTTTGACTTAGATATTTAATTTATCATTTGGTGATCATTTATTGACTGAGTGACACTGAGGAAGTTTCTTGTGCATAGAACTGAAACTACTGTATGGTCATTTATGTACCTATGCTTTATACAAATTTCTTGCTTTAGTGTACATAGCAAAAAGTATACCCTATCCTTTGTTCGATTTTGAAGGGAGTTTGTCCTACGTTAACCTTACAGCTAACCATACAGCTGCGATTTGTAGGGAAATTACCGCGCCTGCGCTGTGATGTTCAAATAGAGTTAACATTAGAATTAGGTTAGCGTTAACATTAGAATTGAAACCGTAACGCTTTGCAAAATCTCTCTATTGTTACAGGGATCATTTGTCGGAAAGTCAATTTCGCCTAACTAAGGTATGTGTCGAATTGAAGTAATATTCCAACAAGTTTATTCATTTAATTTCCTTTCATTTAGATACTCAATTTTTGATTGTTCAGTAATGTATAGGTGCGTGTTATAACACGCACCTACATAGTATTTAAATGATACCTACGATTATTTATTTTTACATGTTCATTAAATTATTCAGCAGAGTACTTTTAATAAAAATTCGTCACCCGTCGTAATCCAAGCTTTCCATTTTTGATCGATAAGTGTCTTTCAAATTCAAAACTTAATCTTCCACAAAGAGAAAATATATTACCATACAACATCATTGCAACATGCTAATTTTCAAGGTTGATGGCAACCTTCTAAAAATCCATTGCGTGAAAAAAATCATTTTCAAATTTTGTGTATAACTNTTAACTACCCTCCTATCAGCTCAAGATCGACTGCCGCATTAAAATTTTAAGCGTGTGCGCCAGAATAGCGAAATAAAGCCAAATCTAGATGGATGAAACTGATGGCCGCCTTCTTATGAATCACTTGTAAAGTAGTCGTCTTCAATGATTTGTAGTTACAAAAATTTTGCAGCTAAGAACATGCGAAAAAAATGGCGNCTCATGAATGACTTGTAAAATAGTCGTCTTCAATGATTTGTAGTTACAAAAATGTTGCAGTCAAAATATCTGTACATGAAAAATATTTCTTAATGTGTGTGTGTGTTTTTTTTTTTTTTTTAATTTAGAACTGCAGTGTAAAAATTAAAAATTTTCTTCATACATTTCTAAGATGATTAATTATTAATTTTATAGGATAGTCGAATTCTGCTAATTAACTTTGTAAAAGTTTTCATGAATAATTTTTCTGAATTTAAAGAATTAATTTTGAAAAATTTTAATGAAGTTATAAATGCTGTTGATAGAGGATTAAAAATTAATCCGATCAAAACTATTGTAATTTATCATTTCTTAAAAATGTGAATATTTCTCTTTATCAATTGAATATTTTTTTTTCCGTTTTAAAAATGACAATTTCGATATAGATCTAGATAAATTAAACTGCAACAAGATGAGAAAAATACTATACATAAACCTGCTTAAATTTTATTTATTTTACTTTATTTTTCACTTTAAAAATTCGAAGCAAATAAAATTTACTGTTAAGAAAATAAAATTCATTGTCAAGACAAGAAATAAAAAGGAGTTTTTTTATTAAGGAAAAAAATTTTATGCTTTTTTCCTTGATGTGATATTTGCTTTGGAATTTCAAAGAAAAAAAAATAATCCCGTGCCATGATTGTATAGTTATATATAATTGTATGACGTTGTGAATACATATATTTACATGTCATTCTGATCAGAAGTTTCAATAGGCAAAATATTCCAAATGTAGTCTTTTTTAAAATATTGTCATATTTTAGGACCCTGCACACACTAGCGTAACGCAACTTTATTTTTACCTCAGCGTTAAAGATATAACTGTGAATATTTTTCTTAATAGTGACTTTTTTAAAAGGCGAGCACATTTGATGCATGAAGACCTAAAATTTCTTCTAATTTCTATATCACGTGTTGAAAACTTTCGATTTGAAACCAATAAGTTATTTCATTTTTTTTAACAATATATTAACCAGATTCAAGAAGTTTTATAAAATTGACACTTCATGACTTGTTTTATTACTACTTTATACTTTTTATGATTACTTTATTTATTTAATTTTAAGTTAGATGCTTCCATTGCACATAAGTGATATATGTGCCAGTATTATAAACTTTAAAATCAATATAACAATACAGATATTTACCAAAATTGTCTGAAAAATTAAGTTAAAAAATAACAGTAATAATTAATAACTTTATTAATTGAATCAGCTCCAAATGTTATTACTTCTTTTTAATTTTGATATATCATTTTATATCATATGTCATATGGTAACCAAATTATATATAGACAGAGCAATATTTTCATCAAAGTCTTAATTTTATATTAAATCCATTTTTTGATGTTATCAAACCTACGAAATACAATTTTCAGTGTCTCACTTAATTCCATCATACCCGTCGTTCTATATACCGGATAATAATAATAATCTGAATCAAAATATTTTGGTTTTATTTGATGACCTATATTCTTAATAGCTACTTTTAATTTTTTTTCTTTGAAAGACAATATCAATAGAACTCTTTTGGCTTTAAGATTGTTGTTTTTATTATTTAATTAACTTAAATAACGAATGAGGCATGTTGTTTTATCATCAATTTTCAAATTCATCATATCCAATTTTAAAAGTTCTATAATTAATTTGTTTTTGTTTAGTTTAAGTAAAATGATAAAACTATATTATTTAGTCAATCAAAAATTTATTTAAGTAAATTTTTTAGAATTTTAAAATGTATGTACGAAAAACAAGTTATTTCTTAAAAATAATTTCTGAAAGCTAAAAATATGCAAAAATGATATTAATCATAAAAGTATACATAAAAAATTGTAATTTATTTTAAGATTCTGAGTGAAAGAGAAAAAAGAAGTCCCTGGGCAAAGAAGAACAGGCGATATTTTAAATTAGAAATTCTATTTCATTAAATTAAGAAAGACCTCAAGCACAAAAATATACTTCCTCTGAATAAACATTTTTAGTGTTAACGAATTTGGATTTTTAATCCTTAAAATATCACAATATACTACTATCATAATGTTGAAGTGATCGCCATGTCAAAAACATTGTTCCAATTGTCTAGTCAAAGTTCCAGTCCTTTTATTTTCATTTTCTCTTTTTTTTTTCATTTTTCGGTGTATCTGGAACTGTTTAGGCGGATAAAAAATTCCACTAATTGTTGAACTCTTTCTCCAAAAATTTCATGCAAAACATTCTATTATAGATAAGTCATTATTATTTATTATTTAATTTATGCTGGGAAAAGTTTTGTACCGTAGAGTATAAAAAATTTCATGTCATTTTAAATGGTGTAATTTCAAGTAACAAAATTTGAACAAAACTTCTGAACTGTTACTGAGGACAGAAATTTCAAAGATATCGGGCTTTGGAAATATTCCCAAACTATTTTGCCGATTTTGCGTAAATGTTTTTTTTTTTTTTTTTCATTTAATAATATATCTTAAAATAAGATGAATACTTGCATATTTTACTCTTCTATACATTTGTGACTATTATTAATTAAAGTTAAGTAATTATATTTATTCTTACAAAGTTATATTTTCTATTAAATTTTCTTTGTATAAATGAGTCTTATAACTGTGTGTACAATTTTTCTCAACATATTAACAAAGGTCAACATATTACTTTCAAACCATTAAAATTGAAACGTTATGAAATTCCAATTACTAAAATCAAAGTTGTGTAGGGTGTTTCGCTCGGCTTTCATTTTACAAACATAGCATTTATGCGAAAAGTATAATATAATCTAGGTTTAGAGCTTTAATTCACAGGAAGTAACGCCTACAAAATTGTTTATTATAGATATGTTATTAAATTAAAAACTTAAGTTAGTTTATTCTCTAGTTTTTATTTATTAATTTTAAGTGAATGAGCGGCAAAGAATATTTTTGCTTGGGCTTGGAAATTAGCTTATATAAATCTTGAACGATTTTTTCCCACTTCGAATAATAGTTTCATAGTTTGAAAAATGACACATTTTGGAATCTCCTAAGATTATTTGTACACTTTATTAGCTTTTAAGTATAACTCTGTAACTACTTGTGCACACTCAATTATTATAAAATTTGCTCACGAGAAAATTGATGTTACGCACATAAAAAATTTACAAACATTAATTATTTCTCTAATTTAAATGGGAAAACTATGAAACAGATAAATTTAATAATAACAATATATACAACTATACAACTAATTTGAAAATATTGCATCGGACAATCGGGACTTGGCATCGCCTCCCCCCCCCCCCCCNNNNCCCCAGTCAAAAAAAGTTTGCACGCCACTGATTGTTAATCTTGCTCAAAAGTATTCTTAATAGAAAAAGTAAACAATCTCTCTTTTTTACCGTGGTAATTTATCTTTCCTGAAAATTAAAATTACATCAATATTGTTTTATAAAGAAATATTCTACAACAATCATGTTTATACTAATTAATTACAATTAAATATTTTTTTCTATGTAATTCTGTACACTGATAATGTTTTTAAAACACAATATTTTACTGTCAAATTTAAACAAAGTCATATTGTATAAAATTGAATAGTTTAAAAAATTAAGTAATATTAAAAGTCTAGTAAATTATTGTTCCCAAAAATTTGATTGAACTTATATTTTTAAAATATTAATCTTATTAACTGTGTTTTATCTTAGTTAATTTTAAAAATAGTATAGTGTATGTATACTGTTTCAAAAAAAAAAATGACGCGATCTTTTTTTTCTTTGATGGACTACGAGGCCTGAATTGCTTGAAACTTTTTGAATTTATAAAATCAGATCAAGTTTTTTTTTAAAATTCCTTTTTAGCGCATGCGCAGCATAAAAGAACTACTTGAAATACTCATATCTTGCGCAGTTTTTTGCATTTTTTTTTTAAATTTTAAATCAATACATTTGTAATTAATTTTAAATTGCAACAAAAAGTTTGCTTAATTCCATTGAATATTTTTAAAGTTATAGCAAAAAACCATAAAAGAAATAATTAGGTTTTCTTTTTAATAAAAAAAACCATCATACCTCCAGTAATATTTCCAGTTCCTAAAAACAACAACTTAAGTGATTGGTGGAAGCTCCAAGCTTATTGCTTGATTTTCTGGCATCTGGCTTAGGGTGTTAAAAAACTTGTTAATTTTCATTACTTATTATAGGTTTCTAAAACCTCTGAAAACTATAAATTTCGCTTTTATTTAATTTAAAATTATATCCATTCCTTTATTTTTCTCGAAATTTTCATTTTGGATGCGAGTACTAACACTTTATTTCATGTCAAAAGGCACAAAAACTGAAACATTTTAATAAAACACTGATTTGATGCTGTTAACAGTTAATATTTGTATCGAAACGTTTAAAAATACAAACGGCTCAAAAGAAATTTAAACATTTAGTAATTTTAACAGCTATATGATAGAAAGTTATATTTATAAATTTTTAACAAATAAAATTAAATCTTAACAAAATGTGTTGAAAAGAGTAACGAGAATTTTAAAAACAAAATCTTTTTTTTTAATCGATTTTTAGGAAGAAACAAAACTAAAATGATTCAGATAGATGTATAGGAGTTGTTAAACGAAGTGATAGTGTAATGAACCATCAAGTAATTAACAAAAAAATTGCTGTTTTATGCTCTACACCCGTTTTCTTTTCTGATACAAAACCAAGCTGTCAATTCCCCATGAAAATAATGGAGGTACTTTTCATGCTTCAGGATTTTTATTCTCCAAATTTTGAATTATGAAAAAATATTTCCATCTTGATTGCTAAAAATACTATATTGACAACACGTGGTGGTATAATCTTTAGGGGTTGCTAAAGAGATGTTTCGTTCGCCAAATGCTTGGCGATAGACATTTGTTAAAATTCAAGAGTCCCCACTTCAAAGATCCATTCATAACAATACATTTTCTCCTTTGACACATTGATGGATCACATCTATTGTTATAACCCTCTACCCCACCTTCAGGTTGGAAAATCCTAGGATGGACAGAGCACTGCCCGCGACGGCAAGGCCTACTGTTCCCATCTCAGTTTTCTTGACCTTGGGCTCTGGGGTGCAGGAGCAGATGTTCCGGTCAGGTGGTCAGCCGAACGTGGAACCCCCAGTGTTTAGTTCCCAAACATGCCTGGAATAAAAATTCATTGCGTGATGAAAAATCTCTTTAAATTAATAAAAAGTCCCACTTTAAATTAATAAAAAATTCGCTATCTTACCACCGTTTAAAAATTAAACGGAAGAATGACAATTTGTCAGTGATTTTTTTTTGATAAATTTACACTGACAAAAAATTTTATTCTGTTATTTGTTTACTTATCACGGTATTTAACGACTAAATTAAACCTAATAACAGAGTATGTTTGCTCAAAAAAAATTTTTTTTACTCCTTTTATGCTATTAATTAAGACTTTCTTATTGAACTGAGGAGCTTAGTAAAAGTATTTGGGAGCGAATTGAATAGACGGTAAGTAGATTTCTTCCTTTTTTTCCCCTCCTATCTAAAAGATAAGCATGAGTTGTAGAAAATATATCTAGTTTTTAAGGGGACAAAATTCTATCACCATTTCTAATCGGGAATTCAATAAAATAAAAAAATATGTTAGTTTTCATAATTCATTGTCTTTATAATATTTATAATTCATTAAAGAAACAACCTCGTGTACAATCTTCCACACAAACTGCGGTATGGTTAAAAAAACACGGATTTCAAATTTCAATATAGAGATTTTATACTTTCACGTAGTATCACGTATAAGTTTACTTATATACTTATGTTCTAAGTCAACATTGTAGATAACCAAGATTGTATTTTAAAGAACATACGCATGTGAATGTGTGGGAAGCTACGTAAAAGTGAACTCTCTATTTAAAGTAACGAGTAACTTATGCAGTAACTCACTGATCTGAACATTTGATCAACTAAGATAATCAACAACATCGTAATTCAAAACTTAGCCGATAGATGGCTCTGTAAGTTATTTCGTGTAATTCGCGTGGCAATATTTCTACAAAAATCATTTTAATCAGCCTTTACTTTGTATCCGATATGTTTTAAATAGCTATTGTTATTACATTTTTAAAAGTACTTAAGAGTAATTATACTGATTTACATTCAGATTGGGATAATGAAGTTTATAGCGATTTTTCAACCCTTTTATCAGCCTGTGCAAATGTAGAAAGTGCAGATGTTCCTGAAAATCTACAAGTAAGAATATTGCGTTGAAATTATAAATAATAACTTAATTCCTCTTTTCTTATTTATAATTATTTAGAAACTTTGAGATAGTTACAATTATTTATATTCTTAATCTAATTCCAGGAATTAGCTCGAATTATAGCAAAGCAACATGGATCCACATTTTCATCATTATCACCAAACGTAAAATATTTATTTCTCTTGTTTGATTTCCTATACACTAGATAAAAACCATTAAATGATTTACATTTAATTATATTTATCTTTAGATGGCTTATAATGTACTTGAAAACGACACAAGCCTTGCTGGCGTACTATTCAAAGAATTTTTAAGAAAGCATGGTCACAGATGTATTAAAGAAGTAAAAATGGCTTTACTTAATAAATTAATCTAGTCAGTTTTTTTCCCTCCTTTTGTTATACACAGGTGTGTTACGTAAACAAAGACATTGATGTATATTTTTTAAATCCTTGCCAAAAAATTATAAAAATTTGGTTCGTGAATTAGTATTTAAGTAATAAGGATACAAAACACAATCGAAATCTGTGTACTCACTAGTGAAGAAGTCGAGTTGATAATTATCAAAACCTGTTTGATTGCTTGTGGAAACTCAGAGGTAATGGCCTTTCCATCCCTTCTGTTTAATATTCTTTCTGTCTTGTCCCGCAGTGGACTGATCGTTAAGACACGGTTCCCAGCAGATCACCAAAACATCACTGGTTGTGGTCAGTGTGCGGGTGGTTAACCACTTGGATCAGTCTGCGTGAGGACCGAGAATGTGCGGTATTGGTTCTTGTTAAACTGTTCTACCGTAAAGTGCTCGGCTTCGCTTGCAAGTCGTCTGGCTACCGAGGCGGGGGTGCCATCCCCTCTGCAGAGGTTCGAAATTGTGATGGCATGTCTTCGAATCATCCTCAGGGATTTTTCCCAGACCGTCGCCAATAGCCCATTGTGCAGCTCTAGTGCGACGTAAAGGAACTACAACTACAACAACAACTTTCTGTCTTCTATATGAAGGGAGTTCTTAACGGAATACTCTGCATTTGTCATTTCATATTTTTTTAAATGCATATTGCTGTAAAGTCTTCAAGGAATAATTTTTTTATATACCTATTAACCAACGTTGCTTGTTATAATTTTTTTTTATTAAAAGCCAAATCAGATACCCTAAAGTTGTTGAGAGATTTAAGCATTTTGTCCCATAAATCATACTATGCCACGCTGAATAATAAATTAATTTTTTACGTAATGAGCTATTCAATTTGAAAAAATTAATTTTGACATATTTAGTTAGCTAAGTAATCGAAAGTTTCACATATGATGTAGAGACATAAATAGGGAAGAAAAAATAAATTTAAAGTTTTTTTTTTTTTAATTTATTATATTAAATGCAAAAATTGAAAACATGCTGTATAAATTGATCTAAAAAATTTTTGTTTTCAGTTTGATATTTATTCTGAGTCTTGGGGTATGAATCCAGAAAACTTAATGCCAATTCTTCAGGTACGTTTATTGAGTTTTAAATATTTTAGAAACTTATTAAGAAATGTATTTGTAAAAATAGTAAGCTCATATGTCTTATTACAAACATATATGCTTAAATTTGACAATTAATTGTGATCATATCAAAGAACGGGATTGGTCAATTTTTTTTAAGAATATAGAAATATTTATGGGAGAAAAATTAAAATTAAACAAACGTTTTTTTTTAATTTTAGGAAAAATTAAGACTTTCCCGGGTAAAAAAATAATTAAAACTTTTCTTTCCGCCGTTTTTTTGTTCCAAAATATTAATGTAACTTCATAGAATTTCATTAATTACCACTTCCTCTATTCCAAAAAAGTTAGCTACTTGATTAGTAGGAAAGCTATCGATTAATAAAGATCTATCTGTAGTTATAGTAGAATTTTTTTTCATTGCCACCTGGAGAATGACCTTCCGTCACACAGGCATCTGAAGGTAGGATTTGTTGGGCACTCTTTCAGGGGCACCATATTAAGTGTGACAACGTTGCTCCCACAGTAAGAACATATAGTACAGAGAAGGAAAGATTATCCATGCTTTGCCCGGGATTCGAACGCAAACCTTTCTGATGCAAAGCCAATTCTCTTACCCTACACAGGCTGGTCGGCTAGTTACAGTACATAAAAGATCATATTGTAACAATATTGGAAAAAAAAATGTGTATATATATACTATATATACATATTTTTTTTCTGTGTTCAGCGGGGATATATGTGATGCCACAATTGGCATACACATATTTATTTTCTATCTTTTAAATATCTCTTATTACTTAAGCTTATTTTTATTAATAGAAGAATTACATTTAAAAATAAATCAAAAAAACTTAATCTTTTAAATGAACATAAAATATTTATTTCTTCTCTTCCAGATCAATGTAACGGATACTTTCTTTTTATTTCATTATTATGCAGACATATATATTCACTGTCGCCTTTAATCGAAAACAAAAATCTATTTATAACTTTTTATTCTAATTTTCCAACGGCTAAATGTTTCGGTTGCATGGTTGTAATAATTCACATAAATTTGTTGGCGACTCGTGATCGCCAAGGTATTCTTTTAAACCCATTTTGATAGGCTGGTTGGCTTTGTTTTGGCTATGTAATATTTTAATAAATCGCCAATTTTGGATCTCCTACCAATGCTTCTGTGTCCGTTGGGAACAATTTACACGTACCTTTTTAATTTGGCTTTTGATTAGGCAGGTCGTGGGGATTTGTCTCCCATGGCCTGACCTATTTTAATATTACTATGCAAAACTGATTCAACTGAAATTTATGGATAATATTTAGTTTTGTATCTCGAGCTCTACAAATACTATACATAAAATAAAAGCCTTTTTATTAAATATGATCCAGTTCAAGTATTCTTTTCATCACCCTTCTGTTTTCATCGCAATCTTCAATTTGTCAATATCTTCAATTAATCCACTATACCAATACACAAATTCCAACCTCACCTGATATATCCATCATCACTGAAAATACATCCCAATATAAATGGGCACTCTGATTCCTCCTTCTCCATAAAATGGCACACTGAAAATGTTCTATCTTCATAGTGGCAGTGAGGATAAGAGCTCTCTAAAAAATTAAATTACAAAAATAAAATAAAAATTATAATTTTAATTTTACATTAAATGATTCTCTTCATTTATGTGTTAAAATGTATTATAATTTTGAAAACAATCATCTTAGACTTATTAGGTTTTAGCAAAGTTTATCAGAATAATTCCACAAAAAAATTCTATTGTTTTTGAAGTCATTTCTATAATTTTTAGACTGTTGATGGTGATTTTTATTCACTCCTGTACATAGTTCCTAACACTAGTTATTCTGACTGTACTATACGTCTTACTACGAAACCCTACGTTTGTGTAAAATTAAGTGGATTATTTTTATTTCAATGCGGAAGTTATTCTCAATTCCGAAATATACTTATTTATTTGTTTCTTATGTTAGTATTAATTATTTTTCTTTCTGAAAAAAGTTGCAATGCTTTTCCGATGAGTTTGAAAATTAGAAAAACTTTTCCGCGTGCATAATTTATGTTTGCAATATTTTAGATAATTTTCTTTCAGTACTTAGCAATTTCACCCTTTTCAAAAGAAATTATTTTACTGACTTTTTTAAGGATAAGAAACTCTTTTGTTTATCTTAAAATTTAATGTTGGTATTGTTGTAGATTCATGATTCATTTATAGCACATAACAAATGATATTTTTTCCTTACGCCAACAGAGCATGGTGATTTCTCCAAATATTTTGAATCCTCAACACAAAGAAGAAATGACTGTTGAAACAGCTATTTCAAAAGTTAAAGCACCGGTTTCCGGCATATATAGGTAAATATGCTCCATAAATACGTACAGTTTTGAAAAGTTACAGATGCTATTAAATTAAAATTGTAAGTTATCGTAAGCATCTTGTAGAGAGATTTCGTACTCTCACGTATGAATCATTACGCATGAATCTTACGTAATCTTTTATCACAACCTACGCAGTAGTTTGTGATAACTAAACACTGCGACCTCATTGCATACGTGAGCGTACGAAATATTACGGTAAGAAAACCCTCTAGCATGTCGAGTTATCAGAAAACTTGAGAATAGGTTTGATATCTTTTATTACAATCCTGCGCTATCAAAAGTATAAATCTTGAGGATTTTCAGACAAAAAATTCAGATCTTCAAATAAAAACTTCTATCATGAACTAGTTTTATGTGATTTATTGCTTTTTCCAAATCTTGTGCAGCCAACTTTTCAAATAATCAAGTGTAAATAAATATTGTTTTATTTGGGGGAGGGCGAAAAATCCAGATCGTTAACTAAAAGATTCTATCAGTCACCAGTTTTCTGTGATTCAATCTGAAAACTAGTAACATGAACATTTACATTATGAAAATGCTTATAGCAATTAATAATAAAGAACTTTTATTCAATAGAATTACCACTCTTGTAAAATAAAATTAAAATAAACATTTGTAGAGTATCGAAGAGAATTTAGAAAGTGAAATTCCTCATAATAGAACAAATTTTTTAACATTCTATGTATTATTGAGAAGTTAAGGAAATTTAGAAAGGACATACGTCCTTTTTTAGTCATTTTTAAAACTGCTTGCAATAGCACCAATAACAATGCTTTTATTATAAAAACTATGAAAGAATTTGAAATAAATGGAAAGTAATTTAGATTGTTCTGATTTACATTTTAAATGAAATTAAATTTAGAATTAAAATACAATATAATCCAACGGAGACAGTTGAAATTAACAACAGTTTTAACCAAAGGATACTTTAGCAAGTCTTTTTTTTTTCAGCCTAATGTTAGAAAAAGTAATGAGATAATTTAAAAATTATTACTCGGAGAAACATCTTAAACAAAATAATACAATTGTTGGTATCTTTTGATGATGATTCATCATTACGCAAACACGTAAAACACTGGAACAGGTTTTTTTTTCCGGTGGTATAAGCGAGAAAAAAAATGACACGTGGCTGAGAAGAGAACATGTAGAACTATATCACCCATAGTCAGATAAATAATCCATTTAATGGCAGAGAGTAAAATTGACAGATGACGTCATTAGGAGAGATTACTCGAAGAATAATTAAACCAAATTTGAGATGGTAGGTTGGCTTAGATAGAAATCTACTGGTACTGCTGAAAAAAAACAGGGAAACGCTTGCAGGTGAAATAATTGTTGGGAAAAAACTTTCCGAGAAGGCCAAGACTCACCCTGAGCTATCGAGCCAGTGAAGAAAAAAATCTTGATTTAAATTATATTTTCCCACTTAATAAGGTTTATTCCTTGTAAAGTAAAATTTAGTTTAATTAGAAATTATAAATTAATTGAAAATAAACTTTAGTTTGTTTTACTCAATAGACAGAGCGTGGACTTCATTTTGAAAAGTTAATTAAACCAAACATAAATTGCTTCAAACTGGTTCTAACAGACCCACATCTAAACAAACTACGGTTTGAAAGGTACTTGTTTTTCGCACATACACATATTACCAGAACTCGTTACGTATCAAAACCCCAATTCTGGCTACGGATATCAACAAAATTTGAGACAAATATTTACACGGGAACCTTAATAACCTTTTCCCCCATCATTAGTATAGACACCCGAAAATTTTAGATTTACTAAAATCTTAACAAAATTCGCGAATCTACCATGCATAGTACATTCTCAAAAAAGTCGGTTCACCGTTGACCGATTTTAACCATCATACAGTGCGAAGTTTTTGAAGCATCAATAAAATTCAAAATTGAACTATGATTCTGTTCACTTTGAACCATGTGTAATAAAGTTTGAGAAATACAATAATATGGTTCTCCTTAGCACAATATTAAGGTTGTAGGAAGTTTAAAGGTTATTATGGTTCAGTATTGTGTTACGGTAAGGTATTACGGTTGCAAAATTTCTATCATTGTGAAATAGTTGGAAATATACTGGCGGCTCTCTTTCTGTGAGCAAATTCAAATGAAAAAAGTAGTTATAAACTTTCTTCTTCTTTTTTTCAGAAAAATTCTTAAATTTGTGCTTCCATGGTGTCGTAACGCTGTACGGAGGAGAGAGAAAACAAAAGTGAGTAATTAGGATAATTAAATTAATAAAATTATAGAATTAAATTATAGAAAAGTTGCTTGAAAAATGTTCTCTAAATCGAACTTATCCTTAATAATAGGTCTCTTAGCTCATTATCTAGTCAAAAATATGACATAAAAATACCAAAGGGCAATTTAACATCATGTGCTGGGGGATAGGATTTTATAATTTATTTTACACATCTTAATAGGAATTTTTTTACATGTAATAAATATGTATTTCTTGGTACAAAAATATTTTAGCCGGAGATGCATATCGCAATATATTTTTTGACTAAAATATTTATTACAATGAAATTAACCGAATGACTTTTCATTTTATCAGAGCACTGGATAAAAATTATTATTTATAAGTATATTCCAATGTTCCTTCATTGCCTATCAGTAATTTCTCTGGTGACCCACTACCATCAGCCATGATGATGTGTATTTTTAGAATCTCTGTAAAAATGGAGTAAAACGAAATCATATTTTAGTCACAAACTTACATTTAAGAGCGAAGAACAAAAACATTTTTGAAATATGTATCACTATTGAATAAGGTATATTAAAACATCAAAACAAGTTTTATAGCCACATGAAGCGTAAAGCTGTTTCTAACTATTGCCGTTCTTTTTCTGTATCCTCTTTGAGCCAGTTTTTTTTTTATGTTTTTCAATCTCGCCTTCTTTAATAATACTAATTTATGACTCTTAATATAGATATGTTTCGATTACATTTTTGAAAAATATTTTTAAAAATATATTTAAGACTGCTGTTACAAAACATTCTAACTTCAAGAGACAAATAATAAATGTCAATCCCTTTTTTCCTATCTGCATCAATAGCCTTAATCGAACACTAGAGTTTAATTAAGTGCAACTTAAGACTGTTGTTGGACACTAAACTATTGTCAGTACTTATATTTTTAGAATATAAAATTGAAAAATCACTTTACAATCTGGGCAAAATTTTAAATTCTTTTTTTCGTTTTTATTAAATTTATTAAAAATTCTACATACCTTGAGTTCTCGAATGCAACATTCCTAATTACAGCCTTCAAGTTCTAATAAATTAGTCTTCTAGAAGTTGCAACACCCCAGTTTTTAAGTCTCTATGGACACGTAATAATACATTTTTTACTGAATCTCTCAGATTTTACCCATGTAATATCAAGCTCATCTGTTGGGGATTTTAACCAACGCTTTTAAACGTACACCAATTTCTCTTAAATTTAATAAAATTTTAACGCATTTCAATTATGATTTAAACTTGTTTGCTTTCTCATAGTCGATGGTAATTAAAACACTGGATTGGTTAAGGAAGACAGTCAGTCAACTTGCTGAAATGATGGTTCAAGAGGAAATGCTTCCATCAAAAGATCTTCTTTATTTCCTCACTTTAGGAGAAGTTGATGAATTGATCCGCTACAGAAAATCTGGTCTAGTTTCCAAGTATGAGCATACTCTTGCAAATAAATCTGTTAAGGCTGTTTTTCAAAGGCTCCGTCGTAATATGAAATTACGTGTTTTTTTTTTTTTTTTTTTTTTTNTGTTATTTTTTTTTTTTTTTGTTTTTTTTTGTGAATAATATGCTATTTTTATAACTGCTGTGAATTTGCAGCTGTTACTTATGACTGTTAGGTCTGTTAGTTTAGCCTATCTACGGCCAGCGCTGTCTGCGCTTATTTTGAAAAGGGTTCAAAACGTCAATCTGAAGAAAAGCCACAGTTTTTTGAAAACAAAAATCGATTGTGGTCTAATTTTTTAATATTTAAAAACTTATTGAAAGGTTGCATTACCTGGGCTCATAAAAACTTGCAGAAACAGAAAATTCTGGAATGATTTTGATAATTTTCATCTAGGTGGAAAAATGTCGCAAAATTGGCGATTTTTAAAAAGTTTAATAACTTTTAAAATATTTAAGTTATTTGTCTGTTCAAAAGCCCTGATAATTTTTCACGGCAAGATTATATATATAGTTTAAAATCATCTCAATAAAGTGTAAGGCATATAAACTATGGCTTTTTTATTTTCCTTGACGATAGAGAGCTTCGAAAAACTGCGTTAAATTAATATAATGTAGGGCAAATTTGTTAAAATCTAATTAAGAAGTTTAGTAATGATTCTGTCCAAGTTAAACTGCAGAAATGTGTAATCAAGTGTAAGGAGAATAAAGTGCCTGCATTGCGTTCAACTTACAACTCAACCCTTTAAAGATTTAAGATTAAGTCCTAGAACATGATGATCCGATCATTAGAACAAAAGTTATTCAGGGTGGTCCGTTTTTTGTTTTACATACCATACACGTGTCTTAAAGTATTATGGAGGGAAAGACAAATTTCCAAAGGCATACCCAGCAACTTTAGAACAAGCGCACGTAGACATGAGATAATGTAAAATATTATTGTGAAAGCTTCTATCATGAATAACAACTAGTTACTATTCATTCTACCCTAATCATTACAGTACAACATAACTTCTGAAAATGTAATTGGTCCGATTTAAACAAGTGGTTGCGCATCGTTGCAAATTGCATTTAGAGTAAAAATATGTATTGTGAAAATTCTAATATTCAAAATATAATACTTTAAGGATTCGAAGAAGACGCTTTTATCTACTAATAGTTCGAAAGAACTAAAATAAAACAAAATGTTCTCAAAACAATAAGATAATTAAAATTAGAAAATTATTAACTAAATAAAAAATAATCCCTGCTTTTTATAATTTGCTTTATAATAAAATACTAAATATTTTTATTTCTTAGAGCTATTCGAAGAAAAAAACTTCATCCAAAGTTAGACAATTTGACCTTTCCTGAGATCATAACCGGTATACCAAAGCCAGTAAGTATTATTACTTTTATTTCAAACGCTAAAAATTAACAAATATGACCGTTTGTTTCCTTATTAAACTAAAGTGACCAAAAAGATACAAAAATGTATTTTTAAATGTTCTTTTTTTATTTAGGTAGAAGTTAAAGAAGACATGGAAAGCTTGTCAAAATCTTCATTTACAATTACAGGTGCATAAATTTTTGTTTTATTTTGTTGTATAATTTGTGCAGAAAAAAAAAGCTGAACAAAGATTGTAATTAGATTTACCTCAAAAAATGAAAAAAAATGTTTTATGGTAGCTAGCAAATTATGACCGGATTTTAAATATGACCAGATTTTATATATTTTGGTTGTAGAAACTATTGCACATATTACAGTAAGTGATGCACGGAGCTAGAGAAAATTACAAGTGTTGATCACTTACAAATGCTCGAAGTTTGGCATTTCTGTTGCGCAACTAACACCTAATATGTAAAAAGTTCATTCCACAAATTTTTCTGCTTTTTTTTTAAATTGCTAATAATGTACACATGTGTCCTGATTCTGTGTTTACGGCAGCAGTTGTCCGTGAACATTGCCCCGGACTTGCAGGTAGATTGGGATGATAGAAGCCTTGCTGCTAAGAAATAGAGACCGAACTGCATGCATCTGTTTTGATAATAATTTTAAAAACATTGCTTCAAAGTTGTCTTACTTAGCAGCGCCATCTGTTACCGAGAAATTTAACTAATTTTGCTACTTGGTAGGGAAAAAATTATCTTGTTTTCTAAACAAAATGCAGCAAACTGTTTCTCTCCGCTTTAGTTTAATAAATTTTTCAAATCATCGGTCATCTGGCTAATGTTTAATATTCATCATATATTGTAGGCACACCTGTATGCCAAGGAAAGGTGAGAGGTACTGCCCGTGTTATAAAATCTTTTTCTGAAGTTTCTCAAATACAGGTATGACTTTTTATCTGCCATCTCAATAGTCAAAATGAAATGGGACTATTGTTGATAAAATTAATTTATTACAGAATGGTGACATACTTATCACATATTCAACAGATATAGGTTGGACTCCCTATTTTCCCCTTCTGTCTGGAGTTGTCACAGTGCTCGGAGGATTAATATCACACGGTAATACAAAACATTTAGTTTGCATTTTACGCTCATTATTTATAATATACTGCAATACACTTTTTTGACAGCACCTGACTGTTTTAGCTAATGAATTTTTGTGTCACAGTGTTGCTACTAGAGGATTAGTAAAGGAAAATATTTTCCTATACATGCATTTAGATGTACGTACAGTGATCGGATTTTCACGAACTAAAACTCTGGTTAGTTAATCTTATGGTTTCGGGGTCAAACCTTAAATATGCTAATTAATTAATCCAGACGGTATTTTAAGTTACAAAAACATACATTCTCTGAATAAACATTCCTTTTTTTGACGAATTGAATTTGTGATACTGAAAAATAGGGGAAGAAGTAGCAGCAATCAGAAAAATACGGTCTCGATAGTTATGTCATGAGAACGGTCAAAAAATTTTCAATTCGTTTAAAAATTTCTCGAGATATAAAGAAATATGCAAAAAGTGAACTTAACATTAAGGGGTTCGAGTTTAGGTGCTCTCCTGCCTAAACTATTCAGTCCGGATTTTTTAAATTGCAGAAATCCCTCATATTTTGAAGGTCACAAATCCAAATTCGTCAGGAAAAAAAGGTATTTAGAGCCGAAAGGTATTTTGCTTATTATTTTGTAAGTTGAAATAAGGTCTATACCCTAATTAAATAATTAAGGGCTAATCTAAAATATGCTAAATACAGTTATAATTTATTTATTTATTTAATTTCCTCTAGAATTTATAGCGTGGTTGGCTAATTGCATCATTAAATTTGTAATTATTATGATTTAGAATTTTGTCTTAGTCTAGCTACAAATTCACCCGCTGCTCTGGCACATTCCCGTTGCCAAGTATTTAAAAACATGCCCTAGTAGAGCTACTAATTTTTTCTTATTTATTCATTCTAAGTAATTATTAAGTTAATAAATTTAGATTTAATAATATACTTTTTGGCTTTTTATAAATGTTTTCGCTAAAAAGGCAATCGAGGCATATTTCTATATTTTTTCTTTTTCTAAAAAACAGTGAAAGTCAATTTATCATTACCTATACAATTTTTTTTTTTAAACCTCTTCTTAGTTATAAACTATACCTTTGCTTCTGCGCTCAGTACGTAATTATTATTTGTTTTATTACTTTTCGACCGCAAAAAATAATGAAATTAGAGTCGTAAAATCATTATAAATTTTTTTTTTCATATTTCAAAGTAAAATGCATGCATGTAATATACTTTCTAAATAAGAAATATCTCTTTATTCTTAATTTTACTTTCTGAAAAAAAATATAGGTGCAGTAATCGCTAGAGAGTATGGTCTACCATGTATAGTTGGAGCACAAAATGCTTTGTCAGTATTTAAATCAGGTATCTAAATATTCAGCACTTCTTCCCAAAAACCATACTAATTATAAATATAAATACTTTCATGTTCTTCGATAATTTGTTTAGAAAGAATATTTTCATTTTCTTTAAGGGGACATTGTTCTTTTGGATGGCACGAAGGGAACCATCACAAAATTGGAGATTTTGGAGAACTCCTGATACTGTTAATATTTAATCCTGAACTGTGAAGTTAATGTAAACATTTGTCTTCAACAAAATCATTACAATATTGTAAAGTTACATTAAAAATATTTATTTTTCAAAGTAAGAGAATTCATGTTTCGCACGCTTTTTATTTTTTAACCCTAAACACAGAATTCATGTCAGCATGTGCATACAGAACATGATATACTCATAGTTAAATAAAATACTTTTTGAATAATAAATAAATTTATATTTACTGTCTATATTTAAATGAAATTGGATTAAAGTAAAATTACGTTCATATTTTAATTTGATATTGTTCTTGTGCTGTGTTCGGAACATACTTGCGATGCAATAATAAAATAATTTAATCAAATGGATTAACAAAAATTATTCTTCATACCTACGAAGTTAATGATATTTAATTTACACCTGAAACTTTTTTATTTTATAAGAACTACAAATCCAACTACTTATAACTTTAACATATAGTGTTAAATAATTATAAAGAAAATTGCAAATGCACGCATTATATGTGGGACCAGGCCTGTCCTCTCACTGAAATTCCAATGTGAGGTATATGATAAATCAATGTGTCAAAGGAGGGAATGTATTGTTATGAATAGATTGAAATGTGAACTTTAACTAATTTCCATCGCCAAACATTTGGCGAATGAAACAGGTTTCAAATTATAGTTCTCTTTAGCAATCCTTAAACATTATACCACCACGATTACTCAATATAGGATCAGGCCTTTCCTCTCACGGAAATTCTATCCAGCAGGAGATCGAAGTTTAGCATCAATAAACCTGAAGTATTGTCTTCTTTTTTATTCTTTTTTTTTTTCTAAAATAAGAATAAAAAGGAAGGAAAATGCTTCAAAATACTGGAAAGTTTACCTTAAGTTTTAAATTTACATTTGAAACTTTTTTATGCACTAAAAATTACAAATAACACTATTTACAACTTTATCAGATAGTTTTAAATTATTAAAGAAGAAAACAGGTGCACGCATTATATGAGTTTGGAGTTTAACGTTAACAAGCTTAAAGTATGTTCTAACTCTTTATTTTCTGGAGAGAAAAAAGTATAAAAGAAAGGAAAATACTAAAAAGTTTACGAGAAAACTTTAATTTAAATCTGAAACTTTTTTATCTATAAAAATTGCAAATAGAACTACTTCCATCTTTAGCAGATAGCTTTAAATTATTAACAAAGATAACAGAATCATGCATTATATAAGTTTGAAGCTTAGCATTAACAAGCCTGAAGTATTATCTTCCTTTTCATCATTTCCTTAAAAAAATAAATATAAGGAAAAAATACTTCAAAATATTAAGAAAATCCTAAAAAGTTTACAACAAAACTTTAATTTACATCTGGAAAAATTTTTATGCTTGTTACAACTCAAAATAATAATAATAATGGATAGAATAGTATTGCAAATTGAATATTTTATTTACATAATAGACGGAGTGTGTGATTGATTGATGGTAGTATTTAGATGTTAAATATTCAGTCATTGATTGGAAAAAAACACTGATAATTTATTATTTAATTTTGTCCTATGATACAAATGTCGATGATACCTATCGAAATTTTAAAGGTATATTTTATCACTATCACTAGAAATTCTACCATTATGAATTTTTTTTTCTGGTTCATGGCCACCCTGCTAATCAATTTTCTGAGACTCTCTTCAACATATGAGTCAGCTCTTGAAAAATGGGATCATAAAGCGGATCTAAATTCTAAGCTTAGATAACCATTTAGCTTAAACTTAATTTATAGTAAAATTAATAATTTTGTCTAGCACAACAGATCTTTTCAATAAATATCTTAGTATTTTTTCAACCAAAGGTGCAAATTTAGTTATACATGATGACAACTGAGTCAACATATAACGAAAAAAGGGTATTTTCTTAATAGAGTCTAGATTTTTGGTTTGATTTACATTTTTTAATATTTTTTTACTTTATATTATACCCGGTTTTTCAAAGCCGACCCGAATCTTAGCTTACGACTGTCAATGCCTTGTAATTTTGTAGTTAACTCAGAAGACAAGGTTATCTGACAGACAATGCAATGGAGTTTTATCTTAAAAATAAACCCCGTGATAACATATTTATTACCTCTATTACTAAGGTATTTAAGATAAATATCTGCATAAAATAATTATTAAAATTAGGTGAAAATAATTTGGAAAATAATTTTACAACCTTACAGTTGAAACAGCTTTATAATTAGTTTCGAGCACCAGAGCGTAAAAATCACATTTATCATATTTATTTCGACATCCAACGGTAACGCAAATATAAGTGAAGTACAAAGTAATTTTGATTTCAATTCAAGGCTGGAAATCTCACTACAAAAATTATCAAAAAAGTGAGACGAGTTGCGCCATCTCTTAGCAATATTCAGAAATACAAAAATAATCGCGGGATTTAAAGAGACGCGCAAGTATTCAATTTAGAAGAATTCAATTTTTATGACGCAATTTTTCTCTTCGCATGGCATGCAACGTCGATCATACTTTCACAAAAACGTCGAGCGTATGAGATGCAGCGCCGACAGAAGAGGGATTTAAAAAAAGAGTTAAAAATCTAGCAATAAGATCTCCGTTTTGTCATATTTATTTTTTAAAAAACAATTTCGAATAAAATATTTTTTTTTAATTTCCTGTAGAAAAAAAATAAAATATCTAAAATGTACACGCTTCGAATTCCGTGCAATCATGTTTACTTGGCTTTGAGATAATCGTTAGTAGCAGCTTTAAATAAAACTGTGAGGGGAAAAAAAAGGAAAACTAATCTTGAAAAGCATTCTAATTAACTTAGAAGCATAATTTTTTGTGCCATTTAAAAAATATTAATGGCATTTCTGTACTCGCATGAAGGGATGAATTCCTGGGAATAATATACTATTTTCATGACTGATGCGTATTTTCAAGAACTGTTCATGGCCTAAAGTCATGAAAGCATCAAGTTCAGCCTACCTTTAGCTTGCTCACTCTATGTTTATTTTGAAAATGGCATAAAACGTAAGTATGGAGAAAAGACGCAGTTTTCAGTCACAAAGAAAATGAATAGCGCTTATGGTCTAATTTTTTAATATTTAAAAACTTTCTTTGTTACTACATTACCTGGGCTCATAAAAATTTGCATCAAAATTGGAATAAAGCATTGGTTTTGACAATTTTCATCTAGGTGGGAAAATATTACCAAGCAAGCGATTTTTTTTAAATTAATAACTTTTAAAATATTGTACTTATTTGTCCATTCTAAAGCCCAGATAATTCCTCACATTAAAATAGTTTAAAATAACGACTTTGTTTCATGAATAAGGCCCTTCAACGTGGCTTTTTTTATTTTCCTTGGCGAAAGAGCTTCAAAAAACATGTTAAAGGATGCATTAGTTTAAAGACCAATTAAAATATGTTACTGTGATTATCAATTATTCAGGCACTTTATCTTTTTATGTGTGACATACTATTGTATTTATTCACTCATTCTTAGATGGTGTCAACTTGTCTGGTGGTAGTGAAATATGTTTCATTCACTTGTGTTTGTTTCATTCTGCTTCAATTGTATAACTTTGAAAGAGTGCCACCTCTGTGTGATTCATTCATGAAAGAAATGCTCTCTGTCGGAGAATCATATATATTTGTTCTATGGGTGGTATATAGATAAGGAGTCAGTAAATGTTATCAACTCAAAGGGGGGGGGGTAGTTTTTGCACACAAGCACAGAATACCTGTACACCTCTGTTATTCCTATTATTTGACAGGTGGCTTTAGAAGTAATAGTATTTCTGTTAAAAAATGCATTCGTTTATAGTATAATTACTGATTAATTCTCCCAATTTTAATCTGATCATTAAAATGCATTGTATTTAAAGCATTTAATTTTCTATTGAAATTCTTATTATTAAGTTTGGGGAAAAGATGAAAGAGGCAATGATAAGATGAAAGAAGAAATCCAACATCACGTAAATTATGAAAAGGAAAAAACTCAATTTCTGTACCAAAAAAAAAAAAAGAAAAGAAGAAGAAAGGAAAGTGTCTTAAAAATTTATGTTTCTCCATACATTTTTTGTCATGCATACAGATGGTCATATTGGTTTGATTAAGAATTGCAACATTTGACATAGTTGCACTATTTCACTCATTTATTTTCAAATCTTATAACACAGAAAAAACTGACACTTTCTTACCAAATCCTTTTTTTTTCTATTTTACACTTTCTTACAGCAGGTAGAAAAATTTTAAAATTTCAAAAAAATCCACTTAGTAAAAGGTTATAAATATTAATCTATATCAGAAACATCTTATGTACTAAAAACTGCAAATAGAACTACGTACAACTTTAGCACATAGTTTTAAATTATTAAGGAAAATAACAAATGCATGCATAATATGAGTTTGGAATTTAACATTGATAAGACTGAATTATTATTTTTTTGAAAAAAATAAAAACTAATGAAATACTTCAAAATATTGGAAAATATATGACACAGCTTTAATTTACATCTTAAATTTTTTTATGCTCAAAAAAATTCAAATAGAACTTATTCCGTTCCATTTTCTTCTTTTAAAAAAGAAAAAAATAAATAAAAATAATGTGTAGATTTCATACTCTATATTTTTTTTTTAAAAATTTAATTAAGTATATTAATCAATTTCCCCTCAGAGATTTATTTCTTATTGTTTTCTCAACGCAATTAATTTAAGTCAATGAACCGGTTTTCATAAATAGTAATTTGCACGATAATTAAATTATATACAAGTGCTAAAACTTTTCTATGAAAACGTTAATATGATTTATATATCAAAAAACTTAGTAAAGACATCGAAAAACGCACTTTCCAAAGTTAGATAAATAAAAAAAGAAAGAAGAAAAGAACTTTGTGTGAAAATTCTAAAAAATATTAAAAAATTGGTAAAAAATATTACAACTTTATACAACTATTTAAAATTTCGAGCATCTGCAAAATACCCACAGCTCATTCAATTTTATGATTTTCCATTATAATAAGTTGGAAAGAATGTTGTACTTTGTACCAATTTTTGAAGTGTATATTTCTACATAAAATATAATTTACACAAAAATTTAGAAATTTTTTGAAAAATACTTTACACGATACTATTTTAACTGATTCAGCGCTCCGCCCTTTTTTAGAAATGGAACTACAAGCGTTTTATTTCTGAAGAAACTCCTTCGTCAAGTTTACGGAAGAGTGAATTTTCATATACATATATGATCGCATTATAATATGTGGTTGGGTGTACTTCTTTCATAGCCCTGCACGTAATAATAATGTAAATATGTGAACAAGTATTGTCAAGTACATGAGAAAAAAGAGTTTTAAGTAGAAAAGGTTAAATGTACAAGTCAGTAAAAGACAGCACGTTATTGTACACCAGGAACATGTTAATAAATGGCAAAAAAGATTTACGAATTTCACAAAATATATATAAATTACCCTTCTTTCAATGTTAAAAAAAGTTCCATCTTTACAACAACAAAAAATAATAATAGTTAATGTTGAAAATAGTGCGGTAAAATTTTCTACGTTTTTTCTTTTTTTACTACAGGAGGAAGTAAAAGTCATTACTTTCTACGTAAAAAATTAAATACTTTACACTTAAAATTATTTTACTTTCATGACATTCTTAAATTATTGGCTAAAAAAGAAAATTAGAGACATATTTGGATTATACATCATTTAAAATGACCTGTGTTTTTCATTTCAAAAAAGTGATTGACTCGGTTTATCAATCTTATTATTTTTTGCTGAAGAAATATTTCAAATATTTCTCCAAAAATCTGGGGTATATAGAAAAGTGTTTTGTTTTAAAACGAGATATAGACAATACCGCATTGCCCTGGACTGATTCTACTAAAAAATTTCGCCAAGAAGGCCAAGAGGTACAGAAGGTTTTCCAAAGTGCATCTGAGCACGCCCACTTTGGGCTAGTTAGGTTTACTATGCTGGTCACCTTGTGTGGTCTCTGCTATAGGTAACTGCGTGGTACCACTACTCCTTTCTTTAAAATAGTAGAATTGTATTGGTTCAAAAACTAGATAAATCAGTCAAACTCTTATTTCATGAATTATTTTCAAACATTCAGGTGGTAGTTGTATGGAGTAAAGCTGTCATTCCGTTTCTAAGCTGCAAGTCAGGTTTTTAAAAGTTCAGCTTTGTTGTGACTTTTTACTTGAAGAACCATTTGAAAAGTTAATATTTTTTTCTTTGTGGATGAATAATATTTGATTCTAAAAACCACACTGCCGATCGAGGGCTTGTTACCCAAGGATAAAAATGGATTACGATTTGTTCAAAAACGAGATCACATCTAAGGAAATAATATGGCTTTTGCTAGCCTTGGATAACAAAATTCTCTTTTATAGTGGCCAAAACGAGGAATTAATGAAGAGGCTCTGTTGCCATTCTCACGAGAAATTTTTTTTAAATAAAAATGATTCTAAACTGCTCAACAGACGTGTCATTCCAGAAAAAAATTTTGGTTTCCTGAGTGAACTATTCCGAAGAATGAATTTGTTAACGAATTTCGAACCATCCGTAAGGCCTTTGGCATCCAAATTGTTGGAGTTGACAGAAAACAAACATTATACTGAAATGCTGTTGTTCTGCGCCTCTCTTTTAATTGATTTTCATTTTGATCATAGTTGTTCGAAATACATGTCACTAGCATTGAAATTTTATTTGAAAGCTTACCAGTTTAGCGAGTTTGGTTATTACGAAGAGTGCAGCACTATTGCGACAGATTTGTTGAGTTACCTAAGATATATTTCCGCTTCTCCATACCATTATCAACGTGAATTGTTTACAGGCTATATTGAAGAGTTTTTGAAGTTTTGTGATTTGCACTGTAGCCCTTTTAGATTAGGGAAAGATGTACTTTGCCCAATCTTAGACGAAGCTTTCGATCTATCGCACAAGTATAATTTTGGTTTTTTACCATTCGGAGATATTGGGAGCAGCTACTACAAGAAGAAATATAATCAGCGTTCACTAATAGAAAATTGTGAACAATATATGATTCTAACAAGAAATGGTTTTGAAGATCGATATTTTGGAGAGGCTGTCAAAGAGTATAAATATGCCCTCATTAGAACTGATATGTAAGTATCATTTATATCTCTGTTTTTACGAATGCATATATCAAGTTGGCTATAATAGGAAAAATTTAATAAGCAGTAGTAATTGAAAATTGTTTCCTGATACTTTTGGAAACTTTAAAGTTTTTTTTTAATCACTTAGTTTTTAGGAACTCCACTGTTTTTAAAATTCCCGTTCATGGCATGTTCATTCAGATGTGTGAAATTCTAAACACAACACAGATATAAACTTTAAGCTTTGATAGCCATTTAACTTAAGTTTAATTTCGAGTAAAATTTATAATTCTGGCTAACATGAAGTATTCCACCTATTTTCAATAAATATCTTTTAAAAAAAAATTAAAACCCAATGGGCCAATTTTAGTTATTCATTACGTCAACTAAGACAATATAGCCCGAAAAAAGGGTAATTTAAAAATAAAAAAAAACCGTGTCCAGATCAGTGGTTACCAACTGTCGGCCCACGGGCTGCATCCAGCCCGCGAAACCTTTTTTGTACCCCGCAAACTAAAATATATTAGTTGTGTTTTTTTTTGCGAACAAATTTTGTAAAAACTCTATATGGGTGTAAAATACTTTTCTTTCGTTAAGAAAAGGAAAAAAAAAAAAAAAAACCTAATTTCTTCGTTTCTGTCAAATTTAACATACCAATGAAGCAACAAAAATTTATTTCTCAGGTTTTGCAACCAAGAAAATATTTACACAAATACGAAAATAATCGTGTATGTTGCTCTTTTTTTATTTCGCTTCTTTTGTATTCTGTGATTATAATGAAGCATGCGCGTATCAGAAATTTTTTCAAAGAAATTCTCAGCTTTAACTTTTCGAAAGCATTCATTTTGGACGCAATTATTTACGTTTGTAAATTTCGAGGCCGCAATTTTTTAATATATGCAATTCAATACTTTTGTTTTGTACGACTTGATAAAAATCTGACAGTGATATTTAATGTTCCTTCAAACATAAAAGAGTCCTATATAAAATTTTGATAAAGTTTCGCCTCGCCATTTGCCTGGTGTTTTTAATTGCGGCCTCCGGCCTCATGTAAATTGGAAACCTCTGGTCTAGAGACCACTATCCTCGCCACCTTCATTTTTTCGTAAAATTTTTAATCAGCGTTCTCTTAATATTTTTCCCTTTAACATCGTGTATCTTATTCTTTAACTAAAACAAATCAATACCTCTGGGGGTACTGATCCAGGAGTTTCCTTGTCTTNAAAATGGATAACGATTTGTTCAAAAACGAAATTACATCTAATGAAATAGTATGGCTCTTGCTTGCCTTGGATAACAAAATTCTCTTGTATAGTGGCCAAAACGAGGAATTAATGAAGAGGCTCTGTTGCCATTCTCACGAGAAAGAATTCTTAAATAAAAATGATTCTAAACTGCTCAACAGACGTGTCATTCCAGAAAAAAATTTTGGTTTCTTGAGTGAACTATTCCAAAGAATGAATTTGTTAACGAATTTCGAACCATCCGTAAGGCCCTTGGCATCCAAATTGTTGGAGTTGACAGAAAACAAACATTATACTGAAATGCTGTTGTTCTGCGCCTCTCTTCTAATTGATTTTCATTTTGATCATCTTTGTTCGAAATACATGTCACTAGCATTGAAATTTTATTTGAAAGCTTACCAGTTTAGCGAGTTTGGTTATTACGAAGAGAGCAGCACTATTGCAACAGATTTGTTGAGTTATCTAAGATATATTTCCTCTTCCCCATACCATTATCAACGTGAATTGTTTATAGGCTATATTGAAGAGTTTTTGAAGTTCTGTGACCTGCACTGTAGCCCTTTTAGATTTGGGAAAGATGTACTTCGCCCTATTTTAGGCGAAGTTTTTGATCTATCGCACAAGCATAATTTTGGTTTTTTACCTCTCGGAGATATTGGGAGCAGCTACTACAAGAAGAAATATAATCAGCGTTCACTAATAGAAAATTGTGAACAATATATGATTCTAACAAGAAATGGTTTCGAAGATCGATATTTTGGAGAGGCTGTCAAAGAGTATAAATATGCCCTCATTGGAGCTGATATGTAAGTATCATTTATACCTCTGTTTTTACGAATGCATGTATCAAATTGGCTATAATGGGAAAAATTTAATAAGCAGTAGTAATTGAAAATTGTTTCCTGATACTCTTGGAAATTTTAAAGGTTTTTTTTATCACTTAGTTTTTAGGAATTCCATCATTTTTAAAATTTTTCCCGTTCAGATGCATAAAATTCTAAACACAACACAGATATAAACTTTAAGCTTTGATAGCCATTTAGCTTAAATTTAATTTCGAGTAAAATTTATAATTCGGACTAACATGAAATATTCCAAATGTTTTCAATAAATATCTTTAAAAAAAAGGAAATTTAAACCGAAAGGGCCAATTTTAGTTATTCATTACGGTAACTAAGACAATATAGCCCGAAAAAAGGGCAAACAAAAAAAAATCGTGTCCAGATCAGTGGATACCAACTGTCGGCCCGCAAACTAAAATATATCAGTTGTCATTTTTTTGCGGACAACTTTTGTAAAAACTCTATAGGGGTTTAAAATACTTCTCTTTCGTTAAAAAAACCTAATTTCTTCGTTTCTGTCAAATTTAACATACCAATGATGCAAAAAAAATTATTTCTCAGGTTTTGCAACAAAGAAAATATTTATTCAAATACGAAAATAATCGTGCATGTTGCTCTTTTTTTATTTCGTTTCTTTTGTATTCTGTGATTATAATGGAGCATGTGCGTAAATTTTTTCTGCGAAATTTTCAGCTTTAACTTTTTGAAAGCATTAATTTTGGACGCAATAATTTACATTTGTAAATTTCGTGGCCAGAATTTTTTAATATGCAATTAAATATTTTTAAAAATCCACTTCTTATTTTAATTTGTAATTCAATACTTCTGTTTTGTGCAACTTGATAAAAATCTGACAGTAATATTTAATGTTCCTTCAATTATGAAAGAGTCCTGTATAAAATTTTGATAAAGTTGCTGCTCGCCATTTGACTGGTGTTTTTAATTGCGGCCCCCAGCCTCATGTAAGTTGGAGACCCCGGTGTCTTGGCGCATTGGTTCACTTTTAGATGCACCTGAATTTCAGCCCCTACCCTTCTAAGAAGCTGGATCTTTGATGGGTGAGATGGGGAGTTAAGGAGGGCTGATGAACTTAGGGTTGCGCACCCCTTCGTATTTACTTACGAAAGGGACACCCCTTCGGTTTGGTGTCTGTAGGGGTGACGAGCCAGTAATTAAGTAAGAGGTTGAACTGAGGATCTGTGATTGTATTTTTAGTTCAGAGAAATTTAAAAAAGGAAATTTTCTCATTGGTGTAGCGAAGCCACTATTTTAAAGTAAACTATAAACTATTCAGCTTTGTTAATTATTATTGATGCCAATTATTAATTTAAGTAAAATAATAAGCTTCGTACAGAATGTTAAATTAATATAGACATTGCACTAATTCGTTTTAGAGTGCGTAACAAATCAGCAAACTATTATTAACACCAATGATACTAAATTTTGGTAATATATACTTACTAGTAGGCTGCGCCCCCTGCTCGCTAGCGCTCGCCAACCCCCGAAAATTACTACGCAATCTTATATGGTTTGCTTCGCAAACCAAGATAGACTCGCTCGCTACTAACTTAGGTACATTGCAAATGCACAAAATTCTAAGAATTCAAAACAATCATTCTAATCCATATAACAACTTCTTTTTTTTTTAATTACATCTTTTTAGTAAATACTAAGTCATTAAAATAAATTTGAATTCAAATAAATGACATGTAATTCGTTAAACCTAATAGCAATGTGCTATAGTATAAAATCTTAAGATAAAATTTCTAAAACTGATATCTCTTTGAGAAGGTTAAAATTTTGGCTATAATCAAGTCTATTAAAAATTGAAATAAGTGAATTGCAATGGAAAAACCTGCATGAATAAATAAATTCTAGTAAAACATATATAAATCAAAAATCGTCAAATAAATTCGTGAAGAAAAAAAAGCGTTTTCGACAAAATACTAAAATAGAGATCTATCGACAAAAACTACTCACTTCTGCCTAGCTTATGCTCTCCCTGGTTATTTCAGTTTCTGTTTTTAAAAACGCTATATGTTGAGCCACCTCATCCTTATTTGGCATGTGACATTTTTAACGGCAATTATTGGTCGATTTTCTAGCGCTGCCATTCGGGGAGTTGTAATGAGGCTTTTTTTTTTGTCGCCGTGTGAGAGAAATATATATTTAGATGGCATAATGGAGATTGATGCAATTTTAATAAGTACTAAATACTCTTACATAAGTACAGAGTATTTTATGAACAAATATAGTGCCTATACAATGATGCCAATATAATAATATAGTTAATCCTTATTTTGAGAACATGAGTGACTCTGAGAACGTGTTTTGCTTAATCCAATAACATAAAGCCACCAAAAAGGGCAGTAATTAATAGTAAAAGAGAAAAATCGAATTATTTTAGTTTATTATTTCTGTAAAATTCCAAAAGATATGTTATTAATTGGCAATAATGTTTAATTTTTTTTCCATATTCAAATGAAGCTTCTTCAGAATTTGTGGAGAAAATTTTATGATTTCCACACTTGCGCTGTTTTAAGCTACTGTTTTAAACACTAAAAGCTTGCTAAATTACTATAGCTTCTTTTGTTTATTTTCAAATTAAGTAAAAAATGTTGTAATTTATCATTTTTCTATCATTTATAAACACAGTGGTAGCTGTATCTTATTAAAAATATGGCGGTGGTGCAGAATATTAACAAATCGAATAACCAAGTTGATAATTGAATGTTATTTTTATTTTATTTACTTCTTACAATTGACAATAGATTAAATAATTATTTTTATAAATCCACAATATCTTCTTCACGTGTCTACAGTAGTGGTTAATTTTTTTTAAGGAAGAAGATTATTAAAAAAGTATACTTCCAAATTATTAAATTCATATTGTTCAATTCGAGATAATTGTTCGAATTTTGAT